CTCTCTCTCTCTCTCTCGCTGCTGCTGCTGCTGCGCCTTGTGCCCTGCACTTCTTCTAGACAGCCATTTTTTGGCCATCTAAGTGAAGTACCAGGAGGGAGAAGCAATGGGACAGATGCCATTTAGATGCAATGTTGGGAGCCCATAAGTTGGCACCTTTCAGATCTCGGTTAGAGAAGCTTCCACAGCTTCCCTAAAGCTGTGCCCCAGATGGCATGCCCAGTGGCCAAGGATTGTGGGAACTGCTGTTCAGATCATCTGGAGGGCTTCAGGGTGGCTACCCCTCCCAAGCATCACCTTTCTTGGGACTGCTGCTGCTGCTGCTGCTAATGAAGCAGATGGAAGAGAATCCATTTAGTTTGCAAGTGTTGAATCCAAATACAGCAGAGCAGTGGTTTGCAAAATACATGCATGTAAGCACAGAAATCTGAAACTGAACGACATGACTTTGGGAATCTGTTTTCAAATTGGAGAATTTCACCAATAATGTGCTTCCAAATCAGCCTGTCAGCAATGGGGTCAAGTAGGTTGAAAATGAAGAGCTGTCTCAAGATTAATAATCACATAAATAGGACTTTGGCATGATTTATGATTTTACAATTCGGTTTAATATGAATACACGTCGCTGTTCTGAGCAATGAGTTAAATACAAGGATTGCTCATAGAACTGGGCTATGTCTGAGAACAGGGAAAGAAAATTTGATGGACAGAGAAGCAGTCCTGCAGAAAGCAGGGCTAGTGACTTGGGCAAACAGTGACTAGCCATGTTTCCTACAGGATTATGTTGTTCTAGTTTAATCCTGCTGGGTGGTGCTTTTGTAGACAGGACAGGAGGGCTTCTAGTCAAGGGGGCCACCCTAAGTCGGAGACAACTTGATGGCCCATAACAACAGTTTAATGCTATACATGTGTATTAAGAGGGAAGCAGCACTGAGTATTATAGGGCCTATTTCCAGATAAGTCTGTGTTGGATTGTAGCCTTAGAATAGCATGATGAAAACCTGCCATAATAACCAAGCTTCCTTTAAATATGCTAAAAAGCGCAGGAGGTATGTTTCCTTCATGTTGCTTGTGGTACACTTTGCAGAAGCATCTGTAAGATGAATGAATCTGTTCAAAGGAAGGTTGTTTTTTGAGTGGCTTTCCTTTCACAGATCTGAATGGAATGGGGCAAGAGCTGAAAAGTACCTTCTGGAAGAGCACAAATCAGTGGGACTTGCCACAAAATGTTGCATTATGTCTCCCACCTGTTGAAGCTTGATACCTAGCTTGGTGATGCATGGAGGGGATGCTTTCAGCTTTAATCTTCCTATGATACTTCCTAATGTTATAGGCTTCAACAAGCTACTTCCTTCTTCCTCTACCTCAACTTGGTGCCCCCGCATTATTTAAGAGCTAGAAACATTAGCTCCTGTGCAACTGTTTTGAGATTTAAAAAAAATCCTTTTCCTTTTAATTTAACACACATTTATACTTCTGTGTATTGAAGGAATCCCACTGCAATCCTGCTTTTCATTGACCACACTTTGGTTCCAACTTTAATATGCTTTTAAGAAAAAGAGTTACACCAAGTGGTCTTAGGTGCATGTCGTTCACTTCTATGACCCTTTGACTGTTTCAAAAAGGTGTTTTTTCTTGCTTAGCAAGTACAGTTCTAAAGTTTTAAAAAAGCTGACATTTGTAGTTTAGGTGTGAAGGATTGTCTCTCTATTTTAGCCCATACATGACTGCAGAATATCTATCTTGACAAGGAACCATGCTTCCTTTCATATAAGAGTTGCTTTCAATGGTCTGGGGACCAATTTTCTGCACTTTCTGGAATCATTTGCCAGCAGCCTTTGCCGGTGCAGTGCTGGCAGAGAAACCAGTCAGTTCTGTCTTAGAGCAAGGTGCATGGGAAGCATGCAACTTGTTTGAAAGTAAAATCATGGTCTCTGGAATGGTGCTATTTTGCTTTAAAACAAGATGCAGGCTCTTCATATGCCTTTTTTCAAGGAAATGTGTGTTTCTTTTATTGCTTCAGCCACAGCAAATTTGTGGTGTGGCAGGGAAGGCAGCAAAATTCTTTTGGGGACAAGGTTGGGGAGCAGGCAGTCCACCGGCTGTGTGTTGCCCAACTGCCCTGCTTTAAGGCTGCCTTTCTTATCTTTAGTTATGCGCAATTTACATACCATGAAATGCATAAACGTGAGAATGGTATAAAGATTTGGTTTCTCCCATGCTTGGTGGTGGTTGTTTTTAAAACTCAAGTTCTTTCCATCCTGTTTATGGAGAAAGGTTCAAATCATGGCAACTTTGTCTTCCCCTTCCTTTTTTTTTAAAGAATTGAATGAAATTTTTAGCTACCCCTACTCTGTACCCTTTAAGGAACCAAACTTTAAAAGTAACATAACCATGGCTCTTTGGGTAAATTTATGCAGGACACCATCCTTTTCAAGAAGAAATTTCTTGAAGAGAGTGTTATAGCCATAAAATAATCTTGTAGCTCCCTCACATGGAAGACTGATAGTTAAGCTTGCATGCCTGCATGAATGAAAGCAGTGTGGCCTTGTGGTTACAGTGTTGGACTGAGACTCGGAGGATCTGGACACCAACCTCCCTTTGGCCACGGAACTCAATGGGTGACTTTGCCCCAGTCACTGACTCTCAGCCTGGCCTGTTTCACAGAGTTGTTGTGACAATGAAATGGAGTGGAGAAGGTGGCCATGTAGGGTTTCATGTTGGATATAAATGAATGGAATAGCATAAAACGCATACTTGTCTTGGAGTAAGCCCTTGAAACATAGTTGGACTTGCTCCTGAGAAACTATGTACAGGATTGCACTGTAAGTATCTTAGTTGAGTTTACATATAAGTAGAGTCTAAACTAAGTTTAATTAAAAGTATATATTGTTGAGGTCTCTCCATTTCCTGTGAAAATGTTTTGGAAGATGTTTATGATGAACGGAAGAGCATACCAATTAAAAACAAAGGTGCAGGATTCATTTTAAAAACAAATGTTTAAATGTCTCTGTTGCAGGTAGTAATAACCACATAGATTTGCCCTGAGGAAGCTGCTACGATGTTATGTGGTTACAAGCTGCCACCAGCAGTGCGCCTTTACTTTTCTCTGAAACTGGAAGTGCTTATATACTGATCGGTTTATAGATAAGAGTGCCTTGCAGAAGTATTCCCCTTCCCCTGGATTTTCTACAAGGAATTGAAAACCTGGAATTGAACTGGATTTAATTGGCATTGTTACCTCTTGATGTCCCTTCTTGGATGCATGCCATAATGCAGTGAGCCAGTTTAAGAGTGTCAGAAAACCAACAGCAATGCTTCCAGAAGGCCAGGCTCTCTCACTAGTTGGTTCTTCTAGCCAGGTTGCCCAAGATGAAATGATTGAAGTGGAGACACCAGGCCACGAGGCATCCACCCACTTCAGTAATGACCATCCTCAGAAGAGAATGGATGTCTCTAATGGTGTTGGGGTGGAGAATTCTGTGAAACTCTCTTCATCACAAATACATAATTCAGAGAACCAATCTGGCCAATATAGTAATCAAACATATTACATAATTGGAAATGAGAAATGAAGTAGTTGTATTCTTGCTGCCAAAACAAGCCTAGGAGCAGATTGTGGTAGCGGCCATGAACTGTTACAATCAAAAATCAGAGTAAAGCTGAAAAAGATCACTAACAGAAGCATAGTGGCAAAATACAACTTAAATAACATTCCTGAAGAATTTAAAGCCCATATAAATGACAGATTTGCATTACTGAACTAAATTGACCATGAAAAACAACAACTGTGGACTGAAACTGGAGACATTATTAGAAACGAATGCTAAAAGCAAGAGTAGCAAAAAGAAAACACTCATAATGGCTAAGGACAAGCAAGACACAAAAGCAGAAGCTCACAGAAATAGGATCGGAATCCTAAATGCAGCTTTTCAGCAACCACCTTGTAGAGATTAAAAGTAACTATTACAAAGGCCAGTGCACAGAAATTGAACAACAGAAGGGCAAAAACAAGAGACCTTTTATAGAAGATCCAAGAAATCAAAGGAAAATTTAAGCCTAAGGTTAGGAATGCTGAAAGACCAAGAGAGGAACATTCCAGCTGACCAGGATAAAATAAAGTGAAGAGGGAACCAATATAAAAAAAGAGATAAAAGGATGACAGAGTCCTTTGAAGAGGAATCCTATGAGAAAAAACCTGGAATATTGGAAGGTGAAGTGAAAACTTCTCTGCAGTATTTAGTGCCTGAAGTAGTAGAGTATTGAGGAAGCTATTCCAAGCTGCAGAGAATGAACCAGTCCAAATACAAGGATAAACCAACAAATATGGAATATAAAACAATGGTTCACAGATTGGAAGCATACCATTCCAAACCCCAAGAAAGGAGAGGTGCTAAGCAGTTCGGTAAACATAAGGCCATTGCACTAATTTCTCGTGCAACCAAAGTGATTCTGAAGGTGTTGAAACAATATTGATGTATATGGAATGAGAAATGTCTGATATTAAAGCTGGATTTCAGAAAGGAAGAGACACTCAAGATCATATTGCAAGTATACTAGAGTGCACCAAAGAATTTAAAAAGAAGAACAGTTTATGCTTTATAGGATGTTTCATCAAGATATCCACACCTTTATATTCCTGGTCACTATGTATGGATGTGAAAGCTGAACAGCGAAGAAAGCTGACAGGACAAAAATAGATTCAAAAGGAAAAAAAGTATTGCTGGAGGAGAACTTTGCAAATACCCTGGACTGAAAGTAAGATAAGCAAATGGGTCCTGGATCAAGTCAAGCCAGAACTTTTCCTAGAAGCAAAAATGACAAAACTGAAGCTGTTGTACTTTGGGCACTTTGTGAAAAGACTCATTGGAGAAGACAACAGTACTAGGGAAGGTTGAAGGCAGAAGAAGAGGAAGGCCGAATATAGAATCACAGAATAGTAGAGTTGGAAGGGGCATGAAGGCCATCAGGTCCAACCCCCTGCTGTTGCAGGACGCCAAGTCACACCACCCCACTCAAATATGATATGTATCAATTTCATAAAGGAAGTCAAAGCCTTGACAATACAACAGCTGAGCAAGGCTGGCAAGGATAGGACATTTTGGAGGGTGTTCCTTCGTGAGGTAGCCATAAATCAGAGACGACAGCACTTAACAACAGAACCTTTTGGTGTACACAAGATACTCAACACTGCAAAGGTTCAACGTATTTTTATTGGCGTACAAAAGTGAGGCAAACAAACTCACTTGTTGGTCGTGTAAGTATTCATTCCCTTTGCTGTGACATTCCTAAGTAAACTCTCTGCAATCCACTGCCTCCAGAAGCCACCTAAGTAGCTGTATTGAGTCTATGTGCATGCAGTTCCCATGCCATATGATCTCAGATGAAATGCACTTGTTTTTAGAAGCCCCCATAGTGTTTTGGAGAGCAAATCTAAGCAAATAGCTTCATGACAACCGAGGAGTTATCAAAACAGCTTTGAGATGAAGATGCTCAGAAGCACCAATCTGGATTGAGATTTTTTTTAAAATTCCCGAAGTGTAACCATCCTCCAGAGCACTGTTAATTCCATTATTACAAAACAGAAAGAATGTGGTTCCAACTGCCATTCTGCCTAGAAAAAAACTTGTTTACTGGGTAAGGAGGGCATTAGCCAGAGAAACAATCAAGAGGCCAAAGAAGCTGGAGACCTCTGCTGCTGAGATGCGAGACATAATCTTTGGGAAAGCAATCGCCTGGTTGTTCTACAAAGTTAGCCTTTATGGAAGAGTGGTGAGAAGGAAGCCATTGCTGAAACAAACTCATATCAAAGGCCAGGGTAGAAGGCCTCCATCTGTGCCAGTACAGCAGAATGACCTGCACTACGTAGGCTAAAAAATTTGTCCAGGAAGATCTGGAGGGTGGGAGGATCGTCAAGCAAAAGTTACCTTTGCTGCTCTTGCTGCCCTGCATTGGATGATACCTCCAAGTTCAGGTGTTTTGATCACTGAGAGGATAATGGATTTTTTTCCTTGATTAAAAAAGGCAGCATGAGCGGTTGGAATACATTGGTGGGTTGCAACATGAATATCAGGGCACCTGAATCCTCTGAAAATATCAGTGCAAAGGGCAGAAAGAAATCCTTGCCTGGAAGCAGCCTCAGGGAGTACAAGCAGGGCGTTCAACAAGGTGAAGACCTTTTCGTAGGCATTTTATTTTTTACATTTCTGTTATTTTAAAAGCTGTTGCATGACTAAGTCTTTACACTCCTCCCCCGCTTTAGTTTTATATTGTAGCCTTAAACTTTTAAAGGTTTTATATTACATTTTATTGTGCTGCATTTTATAGTTTTAATCCTCGCAAACCACCCAGACAGCCTGGACTATTGGGTGGTGTAGAAGTATATTATATAAATAAAGTTTTCTTGCTCAGGGTGCTAGCCAGCCATGCTTTTTTTGGGGGGGGGGGATGTTCAATTCCATCGCCCTCCCTCTGGTTTTCTGTGCTGCCTTCTGCAGAAAATTAGCATTTGGTGGTCACTGAGCATGCTCAGTCCTGACTGTTTTTCTAGAGTTGTTCTGGCATTTCTGCAAGTGGCTCCTCCCACATCCTTGTCCACCCCTGTTGGAGGACTTGTTCTCACGCTACTGTTTTATACACGTGTGCTGGTGGAGGAACATCGTCCGCCACTGCATCTCCCAGCTCTACACTGACAACGTTCCAATGGCTAAACACATCGAATTCCTTTACTCCTGTGTTGTGCCATCAGTGTGCTGTGTGATACCATCCTGCTTGTGTGACTTAGAATTATACTAGCGTAATACGTTAATTGTAATCTGTTCAGAAGATGCAGCTCGTGCAAAATGCGGCAGCCAGATTAACACCTGGAGCACAATTCATGGTACTGGTTTTAACCTATGAAGCCCTACACAGCTTGGGACTATAGTACCTGATGCAGTGCCTTTCCTGACCTCATTCTACTTGGACCCTATGATTTGCATCTGACACCTTCATCCAAGTGCCTCCTCCAAGGGAGGCCAGAACGAGACAAAAAAGAGGAGAGCCTTCTTAGTGGTGGCTCCTCAATTTGGCCCACCTGGTGCTAGCATTGTAAGTTTAAAACTGCCCTCTATTTCCAGGCAGTTAATGGTATACAATGGGTACTGTCAGCCATTTTTAATTAGGTATAGTTCTGCCTTAGATGCTTAAACTGTTTTATAATGTTGTATATTTGAGTTTTAAACTGCTTTAAATTTGTATGCTGTACAATGTTATTGCATCTCTTTGTTATTTTGAGAAATTGGTGTGAACTGCCCTCAGAGCTTCAGCTTTTGGGTACAAAAGAATTAAACAAATAAATACATAAAAACAATCTTATCCTGATCCACATGGCATGATTTAAGGCTGGGAATCAAGTGTTGGTGTAGTTCATGTGTTCTCAAAAATTGCTATCTAAATGTCTTGATTTTTTTTCTGGTCGAAGGTGATCCAAAAAAGATAACTTGTGGAAAAACCTGTTTAGAAGAAAGGGACAATCAGTGGCTTGGCGTGAGCATATCAAGGCAGCCGGGAGAAAATGGATCTCTGGTTGTGAGTATTGCCTTACATTCCCAAATACTTGCATTCTGGGATACATGGAAATGTATCGGTAGAGCAAGTGCTTCACACGCAGATGTCTGGAGTTTAGGCAATGGCAGCTACAGGAAGGGATGGGAATGCCATCCCTCTGTGAATGTGGAGAGAGGCCATGGCCAGGCATGTGTGCACACCATTGTTTCTCAAGGTGGTACCTCAGAGCCAAAAAAGCTGCTTACCCTTGTTGTACACAATACTAGGCTAGACTGACCTTCAGTATTAGGCACCACCCAATGTCTTTTACTTTGGTGTTCATATGTGGCCATTGCACTTATTTTCACATCTCCTTTATTTTTACGTAGGCCTGTGGACATCGTTGGAAAAATGTATTTTATATCTCAGAGAACAAATTTCCTAATGGGATTTGTTATGATATACCTTCTGATTTTCGAACCTTGTTGAGTAGACAGATATCTCCTTGCTATAAGGGTAAGCATACATGCTTCTGATTAATAGAATACAATAATTACAGCAATTAGTATTCTCTCCCTCCCCAAAAGTACAGTGAATGCAATATTTCAAAAATATGCTGAAGGTACTATTCACCAGATAGTGCTCGCATTTATAAAAGAGATGTAACCGAAGCCAACAACACTACCAATGCCCCTTCTTTATGGGGACTATAAAAATGGTTACATCGTCACCCTTGTTTATTGAAATAACTCCTTCCACAATTAATCTGTCAGTTTCATTGGAATAATGAAATTGATTGGAATAATGAAATGGTGGACTATAGTTTTGAAAGCGAGGTTCAGTAGTGAGAACATACTTGTCAAATCCGTTATTCTTCAGATATCTGAGTAAGGGTATTATCTTGCTATCGGATGCCAGTAGTTCCAGTTAATCCCAGCTGCTTCATCAAAACAGCTGTAGAGAATTTGTGATCACCATGGAGGATTATTGTTTTCAGTTGCTTGCTTTTTTAATGCATATTATTATTTTTCTGTGCTTTGTTCTGAATATTCAGATTACTGGAGAAAATATGGAGAAAAATATGGATCATGCCAGGCAGGGATAGCAACAGCTTACACAAAGGTACATGTTATAAGAATAGTGCTTCTCTTTTAAAGTTGTTATTTTTTTCCAGGAAATAAAATGCTTTACAGCACTTCTATATTTATCTCATCACCTTACAGAGTAGATAGACTATACATTGGACATATATTTCTCTTATATTAGACGTGTTCCCTACTCTGTGTTACTATAGGAAAGGTCATGGTTTGGCTAAGATTTGAAGGTCAAGAGGCAGGATGCCACTAATAACCAGGTAGTCTGTCTTAGCACTGCGTGAGTTCTCTGCTCTTGAAGCAGGCAGGGCCAGGCCAAAGCCGTTCTCACGTTGTCATGCCTCAAAAGGTCACTAGTTGTAATGGCTACTTGCAACCTCTGGGGAACTGGGGAGGAATGCCTGGAGAGGTCCATTGCCTTTGTGTGATGATGGGGGCGTGGGGTGGGGTCCCTGGTGCTCTTAGGTTGACAAGCACAGGAAATGAGTTGCTGACCTGGATAGACCTCTGATCGGATTTGAGAGTGCTCCCCTTATGCCGTCTTCACAAAAGGTTTAGACAAATTCATGCGGCACAGAGTTGGATCAAAGTCTATTCATCTTGGAGTCTTTGAAATCTCATGGTGAGAGCAGTCTTTGAAACAGGAGATCCCAGAGTTCCTGATGCTGGAGTGACCAGTCACAGAAGAAAGCTTGTTGACTTGTTTTGTGAGCGTCCTCATAGGCTAGAGAGACACTGAAAACTAAGTGCTGCCTGCTGGATCTCTGATCTGCTGTGGCAGTGAAGTTGCTTGCATGTGTGGCCCGTTCCCACCCTTCCTGCATGCTGGGCTAGCCAGTATTCTCATGCTGTGATGACCATGATGCTTTGCCCAATACCGATCACGTATAACACAGAAACCGTCACTTGGATGTGTGGGGACTCTGTTTCTCAACATCTTATGGCACAGGCCTCCAAACTTTTTGGGTTAGTGGACACATTTGTTTTTTTAGTGCTTTACCATTTCTTTGCCATGGGAATGTAGGGAATTTGCCTGTTCCTATAATGGCTACTATGGTGAGCACTCCTTTCTCAAAAGGCAAACTAATGCAACTGAAAAGAAAGCAACTTTCTCAAGAACTTGATTGCAAGGCTGAGGTCCAAAACACGACACCAGAGTCTGGCAGTTTGCTTCGCCAAAGATAAACCTCCCAGTTTTAAAAACAAGTCTTGAGAAATAAAATAAAAATCAGGAGAAGCAGGGAGTCCAGGGGACACCAAGAGAGATTGGGCACCATATTGGAGTCCTAGTCCTATGGGAATTTTGGTCCCATAACTGTACCTTATAACTGCATGGATAGGGATTGATCTGGGAGTTTGTGCTATTCCATTCCTGAATAAAAACAATATAAGCGACCATTCGCATTGCTTCCGGTTTAAGCCCATCTGTACGCTCAAGCTGTGATTCCATCCTGTCCTGTAATATATTTTAGAGCAGGCAAATTCAATCCAGCAAGATCCTTTAATGCATGTCATGGAGTGTTTTTTTAACACAGAGTTACCATCTCTGTTTTGGAAATATATAAATAATATTGCAGAACATAAGATTTTATTGTCTGGTTCAGAATCACCTATTCAAAGCCATAATAAAACTAACAGCATTTTATTTGGGGTTGTAAAGATCAATGTATTTCATCATGCATCTTTATGTCCTGTATTAAGAACTATGAGTTCTAAAATGTTCTTCAGAGAAGGGCAGTTCTTCATTTTCCTTGTGGCCTGATTAGAATAGTTCGTAGACTTGAGTTTTAGCAGTGGAAGGGCTAGTGTATTTTCAAGTACATAAAGCATTAATTGTACCTATTGAATGATGTTTCAGTTGAACTAACTTGGATGGGGCTAGGTAATGCCACAGCCTTTAAGCAGAGAGAGCAGGAATAAACACGACTTGCCCTGATTATCTTTAAGAACTTAAGACTTAAGCCTTTTGTTTTCTTCCAGGATTTAATTATTATGGGAGCACCAGGATCAGATTATTGGACTGGATCCATCTTTGTATACGATAAAACAAAAAATATCTACATTTCATATGTGGATTCAGATAACCGAGTCAAGTCTGGGAGCTATCTGGGTAACTGAAATTTTTTTATTAATATGCTTTTATATGATTCTCCAGTTTAATATGGTTGCAACAATCTGCTTGTCATTAGGTGTGGTTGGTTTTGCCATCCAGGAAAAAGTGCTAGCAAAGAACCTGGTTTGTAAGAACTGACAAACAACCCTTCCACCTGAGGCATATAGAATATCTTCCTGTTCCTGTCTAAATAAAAAGGAACACATTCTGCTAGGCCTGGATTGACATGAACAAGGTGCTGGTGCACCATGGCAATTTGGGGTGATGATATTTGCTTTACAGGATTCTGTGTGTGTTCCGTTATATTTGGTACAGCCCAAGAGCACTCGAAAGCTCTCTTTGGACATTAACAGTTCAGTGTCAGGATCTTTGGAAGGGTTGTATGGATTTCAGTCAAAATGGAATGAGGTCTGCTCCCAAAAACTGGTTTTAACTGAATTCTAGAGGTGCTCCTTCATAGCGTCTTGCAGTGATTGCAATCAGTAACGGCAGTTTATGCAACTGAATATGAGTAGTGACGCAAGATAGAAATCGGATGGAATTCCCTGCTGTATTGCAAGATGGAATCCCAGTCTGTTATTTATAGGAAAAACAAGAATTACTAGAAAAATATTTGCCCAGTTTTTTAAAGTACATTCAGCCTAATAGTAAATAGGCTGTCTCCATTTTACAGCTGGAGAAATAGAACTAAAGTAGAAATTTGCTCAAAATATAAGGGATTGGGTAATGGGTGCTTGACAGGTGTCTAAAGGATAGGCCTGCTGTTTGGCTTGTCAAGGACAAGAAGCTGTGTGAATCCACTACCAGCCACACGTTGAGAATTGCTTGAAACATGTCATTCCTCAAATGCAATTGTTGATCGGGAAGAATATTGTTCAAATGGTAAAGGACCTGGTATCCATCCATACTGTCATTTATTCATGGCTTTCCTATGAACAGGTTATGCTGTTGGAGCTGGTCATTTCCTCTCTCCGAATAGTATAGAAGTAATTGGAGGTGCTCCACAGCAGGAGCAGACTGGTAAAGTAAGAGTTAATTTTTTCCCCTCCCAGTAGTGGTAGGATATTTTTTTAAACGCATATAACAAAAGGTTACATTTTCTGGAAGGTAGTCATCTGTTGCAGCAAAAACAAGGAAGGATCTTGTGACTCTCTTATTCTGGTGTAAGGTTTTGTGGACTGTCCACTTCACTGGATGCATGAGAATTATGTAGTGGTACAGTATATATAGTGATGGCGGGAGAAGTGTAACCCGTGAAGTCGGAAGGAAATGCAGTGCAGAAAGTAGCAGTGGGGACAATTGCATGTTAAACAGTGGTTGTTTAGACTGCCCTTGCTGGTAGTACCTGGGAACTAGATGAACACATGAAAACATGTGGTGTGGTAAAAATCCATCATCCCGATTCAAGCCTTTGTGAGGGAATTCCTAAACAGGCTTCATTCTAATTCAGGAAGTCTCTCATTTTAATTAATTTATTATATAGCTTTTATATTTCAACCCCACCTTTTCTCTTTCAAGGAACTCAAGCTGGTTTACATAATTCTCCTCCTCTCAATCATCTCTCCACAACAACAAGCCTGTGAGATAGGTTGGGCCTTGATTCTGTGACTGGCCCGGAGTCACCCAGTTGGCTCCATGGCTGAGTGGGGACTAGAACCCAGACCGTCTGAGTCCCAGTCCTATGCACTTAACCGCTACACCGCAGTGGCTCTCATCTCCCTTTCATGTTCCTTTGCTCCAGAATGGCTACTAAGATCTATGATACTGTGCTAGGATGTTGATATGCTCTTGAACTAGTTTCTGAATATTTGTGTTCATTTCTTCTTTTTTGCCTTTCTCAGAATGCAGAACAGCCTGGCTGCCTGGCTGTTTGTTACTGGCAACAGTTGAACTATAAATATGACTACTGTTCATAATGTGATCGTCACCATTAGTAGTTTCTGCACTGCATTTCCTTTTGACTTCACTTCTTACGGTCCTTTTCCCTGCCTCCATCTACTGTACAACCCCGCACACAACTCTCCGTATTGGCCTGTGATAGCTTCCCCAGAATTGTTTTGTTAATCTTTAGATGCCAGAAGTCTCTGTGCAAAAGAAGCTGTCTGTCAGCTTCTTTTGACACATTTTTCCACATAAGTATTTTTAAGGCAGAGGGATTTTTCATGTGTTGTTTAGTCCTGTGAATGCAGCTGTCAGTGTACATTTGATCTGGGAGGCAAACAATATCACTTAAAACGATATACGACTGATAACTGAAGATACCAGAACTAACATCTGTGAGCTGTCAGCTCATACATTTTATTGCTGCATTGAACGAGGATGAAGATTAGAGTGTTTCCAGTCAGAGCTTCTACCGTGCATTCATGCTGCCTCATTCATAGAATTTATGGGAGATGTGGGTGATGCTGTCATCAAGTCCCATGTTTTCCCCCTGCTGCTTCCATCCTTTCTCAAATCAATCCATCTGGAGAAAAAAAAATCCCTTTTGCTTGTTAGCACTAGAAGCCTTCTGCCTGGAGGCACCCATAGTCAATTCGAGGTGGAAGCAGGATGGGGGATATTTTCCTGTGATATGTGGAGCAGCCCTATAGGGGGCAACACTCAGTGCTTCCAAGGTGTCTAGATAAGGCCATGGTAACATATTGGCTCCTGTACCTGAGACCAGGGTAAGCATATTCTTATTTTTGTTTTGCTGGGGTACTTAGCTTTTTTATTTTATAGCATAATTAACTCCCCTTATCTTTATTTTAGGCATACATTTTAAGAATTGAATCCAGAAAACTATCCATTTTGACTGAAGTCAAGGGCAAAAAGGTAATCCTCCTATAAAGATTGAAACTGGTATCTGCGGTGCCATGCCTTGACTCCTTAACTTAAACTCTTTCTTGTGTGTGGACAGCTTGGTTCTTATTTTGGAGCTACAGTCTGTGCTGCGGATCTCAATGGAGATGGCTTCTCAGACTTGCTAGTAGGAGCACCGATGGACAGTAAGGTCAGAGAAGAAGGAAGGGTTTATGTTTACATCAACTCGGGCTCTGTAAGTACTTCTTTCTTTTAACACAAGGCACTGTAAGCAGATTGTACTGTACATGAGGCCACTGGCTCTATTCCCAAAGCAGTGCCCACCTCTTGCATAATGGGGATTTCGTGCTTGCTTTAGGAAGCCCCAAAATTAGCCTAAGTATTAGCTTCTGGATCAATCGGGACAGGTTGCCAGGGCTCTCTTGCACCAGCTCTGCCATCCTGGCCCGTTCTAGAAGCATGTATTTTCACTTGCTCCCGGTTCCTGGAGGAAGCACTAAATCCCCATTGTGCAAACAGTGATGCTGCTTGTGTAACAGAATTGGGGGCGGGCCCTGCTTGCACACTAGCCTGCTGGGAGACTGCCCTCTGGGCTGATGCAGGGGGGTGGCTGCTGCCACTTCCATGGGACCAGCTCTTCTCATGCAGCTCTTGTGTCTCTGACAGCTTCCTACATGCAGTAATTAACAGATGCAGGATTTCATGTCATGGAGATGAGCTGGCAGTAAAAGGTTTCTCACTAAATCTTTGTCTTATCATAAACTGGTAAAAATGCAGCAGACTGAAAACAAAACAAAAGCCCAGCAACTTTATTGCCATTAGTGGCGGACTCAGCCAGGGGCTCCCAAGCTTTCTGCACCAGTGGGTACATCTGGATTTTGTGGGTGCTCTTTCAAAATAGATGCTGTGGAACAGGCAGGCATGTCTGGTCACAAAAGGCGCATTTCTCAGAAGTCAGCTGATGAGACCAAAAGAAAAGTAACATGTCCAAAACTGAAGTAGAAAGAAAAGGTGAAGCTCAAGCTCCAGAACAAGAACCATGCTTTGGAATGCTAATAAAGTTGGTGCTAAAGGGTGGCAGTTATCTTTCTAGCAAGGCAGCCTCCCAGGTTTAAAAGTAGTCTTGATTTTAAAAAACAGTTAAGTGTTGCTTTTGGCAAACAAAACATGAATAGCGCAAGTGCAGAGGCACCTTTGGAGCCTTCTGGTGTGCTAAGCTTGCTACTAGAAAACTAGGAACTTGACTATGCTCAGCAAAAGTAGCCCAATCTATGTAAATAAAAAAATGGTGTCATGTGGATCTGACCTGCACCTTTTGTAGCCCACAGTACAAAAACGGTTTATGCTATGAGCCATGCATTTCATTTGAATTGGATGAAATGAGCGGAGTAAAGCTGGGGATGTCTGAGGAGCCTGTTTGAGGGTGGGAATCCATTGGACTCCCCAGATCCCAGTTCGCTTCGAAGTGGTGCTGAGTCCAAGCTCCTAGCAAGCTTGCCCCATGTTTGCAGGGTGCTTGCGAGGAATCGAGCCCCGTGTGCTGCACAGGAATTTGGAGTGCAGCTGCTGACACAGGAGAGGGTGGGTTGTATGGGGCTTTCCAGGAATGGTGTCCAGTGTCCCTCCTCTGACCCACCTGTAGCAGCCCTTTGCACGGCTCTGCAGTTGCCCCTTGTACAGCCTTCATTTCACAAATATTCATGACTTCCTCTCAGCTCGGCTCGCTTTGCAAGGCCAGGCCAAGCACAAGAGGAAATCCGTGGATGCTAACAGGGACGGATTCCACCAGGTTTCATCCCAGCCCTAGCAGATGCTTTACACTGATGTGATATATAAATGTCAGAAAGTTCAGGCATGTGCCTATTTTGTGTTCGAGTTCCATGGATTTCGAAGGGTGTATCACCGGTTGGACTACGCCAACAGAAAAGCAGTCTTCTGTTGTATTGGAGAAGCCAGTGCAAGAGGAAAATAAGGGTGCTTCTGGGTGGGGGTTGTGTTCATTTTTGGTCACGGAAGCACCAAACATTTCAGCATTTTCTTCTAAAAGCACTGAGACCTATCTCTGCTATAACTGCATCAACACTCATTACTGTCTGAATGTAAAATTATTATTTCTCTAGGAAGCAAAAATGATCGAGCTGGAAACAGCCTTGGCTGGGAGTGATTTATATGCTGCAAGGTTTGGAGAGTCCATTGCCAATTTAGGAGACATTGATAATGATGGCTTTGAAGGTACTAATAATCTTCATAACCTCTGCAGACAGCTGTACTAAACCAACCGTATGTGATCACTTGACCAGCTAAAGTTTCATCAGTCTGGTAATTTATTTTATCCCCAGCATCTCACGTTCGTGACTCAGAGGCATCAATAGCTTTGCATCAACTGGCTAAACCAATATTGTCTTGGCTTGCTGGTAACAACTCTCTAATTCTTGACTACCTGCGAGCCTTGGGCAGGGCAGGCTCTGAAAACTGAAGCTGGACATTTTTATTTTGTTTTTGAATGTAACTTTGAAGGAAATGTGTATGGGGGGCATTGCCCAGTGCAATACTTTGTCTTCTCACATCTATCATTTCATTCATTCTAATCAGCAATGCAATTCAGAATTTTAAATAAAACTTACCGGTAATATTTTTAAAGTAACTTTTAAAACCATGTTTGAAGTAGGAGAGCGTATCTGGGAAACCTCATTCCCTGATTGGTTTTAATTTAATTGAACTGGAGCTCAGTGAGCTCCAGCCTGAATTTGTTTGGAAAGTCATAACTTGTTTTGTGAATAAAAACTTGGATTTGATTTGATTTTAAGCTTGATGCATTCTGAAGCAACTACCGCACTTCTCTTTCTCTCTGGATCATTTACCTGAGCTATTCAAATAACCTTCTTTGTGCTTTAGGTAATACTGCTGATAGTTATTCTTTTGTCTTTCTGCTCCCTGCAGGAGTAAAACTATCCAGGCATATAAAATACTTAAAACCAGTTGCCTTCATTTCCCTTTTAAATTCCCTGCCCATAACCAAACTCTAATTCGTTGCTTAAAAGAGGAAAAAAAGTGCCCTGTTTTAAACTAACGGTACCTTAGTGTCCTTGCTAGTACTGGGGAAAAGCGATCAACGTACTGCAGGATTATCAAGGTGCTGAGTTCGCTGATCATCTTGCTGTTATTTTCTGCAGTCTGTAGACTGCAAGGGCTCAATTCTGATTGGTAATCACACAAGCTAGGGATATTTTGAAAGAACTGAATGTACTGTTGGATTTGGGAACTAGATCATTGAAAATTCATAATGTTTACTTCTCTGCGAACTGGGGGTGTACCGTGGTTTAGAGAAGCTGCTCTGGCTTCCCCTGCCAGCCCCATCCAGAGAGCTTCTGGGCATGACTTGCCCGGGGTGGCTGGAAGTGGGTTGCTGTTAGCCCTGCAAGCATGTGGGGTTTGCAAGCAGAGGGAATCATGGTTCTCTTGGGGAAGGAATCCTTGTCTGTTCCCCTGACAGAAGAACAATACCCACCAAGGAAGAAGGCGCATGTGCTTCTCTTTGCTACTCTAAGCACCTTTGTTGGACTGCCCAGATAGAGATTGTCAGTGATTTCAAGCCAGAAAGAGTCTGACTCCAAGAGTGCTCAGGCGCAATGCTCTGGGCTTGACGGAGCTGGGAATGGTATCAGGTTCTAGTTTCTGTGCTGCACTTTCCACTCTCCTTAGCATCTGTTCATTGAAATGTAAAAGGTCAAAGGGGTTAGGTTCAACCTGAAACTTCAGGTTCAGTTTTGAAGTTAAAACCTTGCATCCCTTGTCTCATGAGAAGTGCCTGGTCTCCCTGGGCTTACTTGATTGGGCTACCCTGACCCCCTGCATGCCTTTGTCAATCTCCCTAGGATCAGTTGTACCTGGTAGTCTTTCATAGGCCTATCCATGGATTACATTCTTTCAGAGCTGTTTCATGTAATGGGTGCTGCTGCATTATGAAGCAGTGAATCTCATAATTTCACTAGATGTTAATAAACAGAAAGAAACCTGCCTAGCAAGAATGCTTCCAAATATGTGAGTTCCAGCTGATCATAGTGCTTTAGCCTCTGCTAAATTATTTTCATCCGACCTGGCTAAAATTTGCTTGAATCTATAGCATTTGCCATTTTGGTTTAATGGTAGCCCTGTGGCATCACTTGCAAAATACTTTCCATACTAGTCCTTAATGTTTCCATCCTCCTCCTTTGGATTTCTTCTTGTGAGCATTAACGTTCTAAACAGCTGAATTTATTTGTTAAGCAGCTTATATTTCACACTTTCTTCTGAATCTGCTTAATTTATATGTGGCTTGTAGGTAAAACTGTGCTGTAAATAAATGACTAAAAATAAACTAGACTTGCTATTTGCAGATTAACATCCCCCACCCCCCAGTACACACACACACATACACCTCTCTTAAAACTTGCCTTTTTAAACCATCTTGGAAGATATCCACACACACACACACACACGGGTCTATTTTGCTCCTCAGGGTGTTTGGTGTGACTGCTGTGACTCCCTTATACAAAGATAACTCTTGTAAGTTCAGTTACTGAATTGTGAAGTACGCTTACAAATATTCTGTGTTTCAAATATCTTATTACTTATATGGTACCAAGAATATCTACTGAATCAAGAAATTGTTACAGATGTGGGGCCGCATGGTCTGTCGCTTTTCATTTGTTATAGAGTAGCTTATGCAAGCACATGTATTCTCTTTAATGTCCCACCAAAATGTGTTGTTCGTTTCTTACAGATGTAGCCATTGGTGCTCCACATGAAAATGATTTAGAAGGAGCAATTTACATATACAATGGCAGGAAAGATGGGATATCAGCAACCTTTTCACAAGTAGGTCTTTTAAAGCTGCCACTGTGACTGTGGTTTGAATATTCAAAATGTTAAACAGAACATACACACACACATACACACACACATACTGGGCATACCTACATACGTGTAGGACACAGGTAGGCTGGAAGTGTAAGGGACCAAGGCAGTCCACTGCAATATTTTAATGTCAGGGAAGTAGTTCACTCTGGGGAAACACACTTGATCTTCCTATGAAGTGCAGAGAATGCTGTGGCTAAATTACAGGCAACGCTTCATTCCGAAAAAGGCAAATGTGACTTGCCCAGATTATGAACGTTTCTTTGCCTTCATCCCCTCAACACTCCTATTTCAGGATAAGAAGAGCTCCTTGCTTCCGCTGCTTGGAGCAACTCATGTCTTGGCCAAGCCAGGTAGTAAGATAAGAGGATAGTAAGGGAAGACAACAGGAGAGGAAAGGTTTCCCACTGAGCATAATTTAAATGCCAAACTGCATATGAATGCGCTTGGTAATGTTATGCGCTGTCAAGTTGTCTCTGACTTATGTGACCCTGAATGTGAATGTACTTACAATAGAAAAAGAACGATTTAATGAGAAAGCTGGTTTATATTATTTTCTAGTGTTTGTCAGTTGTAGCTACTAATAATTCTTAAACAAGTTTCTATTCCCCTCAAACCCTGCCTTTTTTTTTTTTTAAGAGAATACAAGGACATCAATTAAGCAGTACCTTACGGATGTTTGGCCAGTCCATAGCTGGGAGAATTGATGTCGATAACAATGGCTATGCAGGTGAGTTAAAAACGTTGCTTCTCTTTGGAGGAAGGAATATAGGAGGAACAACATTTTGTGTTGCTGTTATTATTCCTGAGTTCCTTCTCTAACTCCTAGGCAGGGTATGCATGAATAAAACAATAAAACAGCAGAACTGCCAGCAGCATTTAAAAACAACCAAATGATATGTGGCCAAATTAGAAGCTTATTATTATACAAGTCTACTTTGAAGTCAGTCTCACTGAGTTGGATCCAGATATCATCATGGATCCCTTAAAATTAATAGGCGTTAATCATGACCAGCTTAAATCCCACTGAGTGGAGTGACCATCTGGAATGCAACTGCAGCCCCTATGAATGATTTCGTTTTTTTAATGTTCAGTGCTGGTAGCATTCAAGTTGTTTGAAAGGAGATGGCTTGTTAAATGTATTGGGACAAGTGCATTAAGGCTGTTATACTGTACGCATCTCCATGTGCGTAATTTCTCCTGAACTTGGCAGAACTTACTTACAGGTGGCTATGCACAGGGCTGGCATATGCGTCATAACCACCTGGAAAGCACTGCTAGCTTTAAAAGTTTGTGTCAATATTATGAAGAGAAAACAGAATGGAACGATAAGCCTAGCATTCTCAAATGAAATAAAATTTAAGAAATATTAGATGTATTTGGGTGCAATCCGGTCCACATGTCCAGAACTCTGCATGGAGAACTATAGTAGGCAACCTGTGTAAGGCAGAAGGTGCTCGGAGGAGCTCTGGACCCCTCCAACCCTGCAGAACTCATCGGTTTGATGCCCCATAGCTTGAGGGAAGGAGGCTGAGGTGTCGCTGGTGTCCTTCATAGTGTGGTGGCATCTGCCTCCCCCTGGAACTCCCACCAAACCCCATCTCCGAGGTCCCATTCACAACTTCAGAACAGTAGCTGGCACAGCTCTTTCCAGAGTAGCTGTGAGTGGAGGGAAGCGGGGAGCCGCACAGAGCTTGGATTCCCAGCCCTCACCTTGCAAATAATTTCCCAGGTCAGGGCTGGTACTCCAAGTAATTGTCCAGCCTCTTGTCTAGTGGCCATAGGACTGTTTCACACTTCTGCCTCACCCTGCTTCCAAGGAGACTTGAAGTACAGATCGGAACTTGTCTTGTGCCGGCCGGCATAACTGTTCTACTCCCGTATCATATTTTTGCATGAACTTGCACTGGTGCATGTATTGTGGCATCCAGCCCAGGTGCCCATTTGCAGGTCACCCTGCCAAAGTCCTCTGACAATGCATGTATTTTCTTCTACTTGCTGCCCTAAGAAGAGAAAGAGAAATGGGAATGAAGAAGATTTTGGAAGTATTTACACTCCAGACATCTAATGGGGCTGTGCCATGGTGGATCAGGCCCAGATCCACCTGCTCCAACACAGTGGATACCCAGCTGCCCACAGGAACCCGGCAGACAACAGCTGCCTCCCACCCATAGTCATTGCAGTGTCCTGCTTTTTGCTGAGTGCTGCCCTGAAAAGGTTCCGTTTCCCGAAGAGAACGGCCTGTCAGCCCACTTCAGAAGCTTCCCTGCATGTGTTCAGATGACCTGTGGAGAAGTCGCATGCACTAGTCCCACCTCTGGCATTCTCCCACAGAGGCCAAAGACACGAAGGGGGAGTTAATCTGGTTGGGGGGTTCTAAGCGTGTTCAGTTGAACACACTAAGAATCCTCCCTGCATATGTCAGCCTGAAGGCATCACGGTAGAGCTGGAGCTGACTCAAGACATCTTTGGGTGAAGGCCAACCCAAACAGCTCCGATCCCTTTCCACACATTATTTCACTGCATGAGAGGAAGAGCTCTGAAGGAAGATATTCTTTGTCTTTTGTTCATTTGGACATTTGTTTCAGGTTGTACAATTTTCCTTAAACTTTGAAGATGAGATCATTTTTTCCTAGTAAATATTCTTGTTTAAAAATATTCTTTTCTGGTTGAATGGCTAACCTTCAGAATTCCTGTAGGAAATGGGCAGGAGCTATGTTGTTAGTAATTGCTGCGGACTTATTTAATGCAAGGAATAAAATAACTCAGCCCTACTCCAGTGATTCTGTTTAGGAAGTCCTAATGATAGATGTGGCTTGAAGTGTCGGTGTATCCTCTCTAATTAATAATGTGCAAATAGTGATTTAATACAGTCCAAAGGTGAATATGCAACCTGTGGATTGTGCCTGAAAGATTTCTGGGGACTAACGATTACCATCCATCTGTGCTGTGTGTGTTTTTCTTCAGATGTAGCAGTTGGCGCTTTTCTGTCGGATTCTGCGGTGCTGCTGAGGTGAGTTGAATGCACTCGCAGGCTCGGAGATAGGACAAAAGAGTAAATTATGAGAGGCCAGTAAATATACAGCATGCCATTGCACCTCACAATGGCCTTGATTAAACTCTGAACGTAGTCATTGTGTCGCAGAATTCTGCACACCACTGACGTATTTAGACAGACACACTGGAACACATACAAAATGCGTGACTCCAGTGTCACTAGGAAATTATCCAGGAGGTGAATACCTAAGAATCCAGGTGACAAACAGCATACCTAGCTGGGGTATGAGAGTTCTAGTCCAAGACTTCTGGGGGCACCAGTTTGAGTATGCATTTAGCTTAGTCTGCATGACTCGGAGCTCATTCTGAGTTGCTTTACCCCCAGGTAAGCGGTGGTGCTCTGTTCATTGGTTGCTTGCCTGGGTGCGTGACTGGGGAGAGGACTGTCATTCTGAGTCAGATTGTCCCCCACCCATTCTTCCCTGGGAGTTACACTAGAGATGCATAGTATATATTTGGCATAGTATGGAGCCTGTTCCTTAGGATCCAAGCTGTCAAGAATACCCTTGTCCTGTCTTGAGAAAAAGCAGAATGCCCAAATGATAAAGCGCTGTGCAGGAATTGCGGATGGCAAGGGAGCATCTTGTGACGATGAATTCTTACTTTTTAGGACAAGGGCAGTAGTCATAGCTGATGCATCACTAAAACACCCCAGTTCAGTAAATCGAACCATTTTGGACTGTGTAGCAAACGGACAACCTGCTGTGTGCATGAATCTGATGCTTTGTCTTAACTATAGTGGCCACACAGTTCCGGGTTATCTTGGTAAGCTGTTTGCTGAGCGTGGCAACATCCTTTCTCTGTACTCGGTTGATTCTCTGTTTAAAAAGTGACTTTTTGCTATGGGTAAATGGAACTTACTGCTAGTCTCAGTTGTACAGTGGCTACAGGTACCCACCTTGATTTTTGGCACCATCTAAAGCATTACAGGTAGGGGTAACTGCCCAGGTTAGCTGCATTCAGTAGCAGTGCAGTAGTTACTTTTGAGTAGCAACACTCGAGTGTATGTTTTTACACACTCGCTATCAAAGTAAATGAAAGCAATATACTTGGGTGGTGTCAACTGTAGCTTTAATGAGTAGACAAGTTGAAAAGGTGTACATCCTGGAACAAAATGAGAGGACTGGTGTCTGGCGGATTAGGGCAGGGCAAAATCTTACGTTACAAAATTTGGGGAAAGAGGGCAGGTCAGGAGACGAGCCTGGCTGTGTCAGGGTGGAGTTTGGTTTTCACAGTGGAGGGAGAAAATAGCAGGAGCTCTTGAGTCTGCGGCCTGCCCAATTGATCGTGGACCCTTAGCTTGAGAAGGACTTATTTTCTCCAGGCACTTAAACTCTGAGATCTGGGACTCTTGCAAAAGAGAAGTGCCCGCTCATATCTCCAGGCACCAACAGACAAATGGGGGAAAGGTGCAGAAGTTAATTTGGCTTCAAAGATGAGCTCCCCTGATGTGTTCTGAGCCCGCAGTACCCAGGGCACTGTGTTTGGCAGTGTTTTGCAGCCTTTTGAAGCACTGGGCTGTGAAATGTTTTGTCTTGTAACACTTGGGGTGATTTGTTTAACAAAATGATAATAAGGAGCTGTGTGTGGCATTTTAAGCAATTGCTTGCTATAGTTCACCATTCATTTAAGGAATCTGGAAATACTGCTGCAGTTACCTCTGAACCATTCCTCTTACATTTTTCTCTTTCCCCCCTTCAACTTTCCCAGTATTTCTTTACGACCTAAGCCTGGATGTGAGCAGGAGGGCAGATACTGCAGCGAGATTTTATTTTGCCTCTAATGGGAGCTCTGCAACAACCTCGGGAAGCATCAGGATTTACAACAGCAACAATGCTACTTGCGCAACCCACCAAGCCTTCCTGAGGGTAACATGTTCCCTCTCTTAAATCAGGCTAGTTGGGATGACATGGGTGATGACAACCCAGAAAGGGGAGCCAACAGCAGGTGGGCTGTTGTGCACGAAGACGAGTGCTGCTTGCAGTGTGTCCCTCTCTTCCGCTTTGACCCTGCGACCCACTGTTGGCTTCTTCGCATGACATCAGAACCCAGCCAGATGGGTCATTTGGGAGCTAAACAACCCAGTGGTTAACCCAGCAGTGATGAAATGGGTTAACTACCGGGCCGTTAAACTCCTGAGCAACTCACCAGGTGTCACGCTCCACAGGCTACGGAGGAGCCCGTCGTGGGTGGTGCAGTAAAAAGTGGAGGTGGTGGGCTGCTGCAGGGCAGTGTCCTTGCCGCGGACAGCAGCCTCTTGGTTGTTTTAACAGCCAGCTCTGTGCCTGTTTAAAGACACAGCAATGAGCAGGGCAGCCTGTGGGCTGTGAGGAGCATCTTTCTTAGAGGACCTCCTCAGGCCACTTTCAAACGTCAGATCGGTAGCGATCGGCAGTAGACCCTTTCATGCTCTGTCATTCCTATTCCTTTGAGAGATTAGCCTGTTGCCAACTGGTGTTTTTTCAGAACCGGGTGGGTACTTCTTTGTTTGCTCTTGATTTTTAAGACGTTGAGCTTTCTGCAGTTTGAACTCTGCTGCTTGATTGTTCATGCCGTTCCATGTTACGGTGGTTGTGTCTTACATTCTAATTTTGGTAGCTCATCTGAGACAGTTTCACCCATAAGCATGTGAAACCTCTCAGAGGGTTTTAGGGCAGAGTATTGAGTAAAGGGGTTGACCTTTTTGATTCATGCAGACATGCTTATTGGGAATGAAGAGGGCCCACGTTTCCTTTCTACCTCATGCAGTCCAAAACTACTATGGACTCTTTTTACTGATGTTTTAGCACCTGGGAGAAGCTGAGACTCTGTTTTTCTGACACCCTAATTTGGTTTCAAATCCAAGCCAGGTTGGGGCAAATGCTTTCACCCTCCCTACTTTTGATGCAATGTATTTGTTTACACTGAAATAGTAATATTGAGAGCATCTCCTCTGCCTTCTGTGAATTGCTGTTTGTTTACATGAACCTGTTAAAGTTAGGTAAATTTGGGAGTTTGCCGATCCTAATTTTTCAGTTGGTCAGAAGCTCACCTGTTTTCCCTACCAACTTGGCCTTTGGTCATATAATGGCTCTCGTTCTGGAGGTGCTCTGTTGTTGCATTTGCGGTTGTAGTAGCTACTGACAAATTTATCCACCATGAAATTGTTGAATTCCCTTTTAGAGCTGTACAAACTGGGATCCCTCATGACTACCGGTGGTACCACATTCCATAGTCTGTACTATGTGAGAAAGGACTTCCTTTTTTTTTGGTTCTTAATTTTCATCACTCTGTTTCATTAGAAGATCCTGGGTTCTACTATCGCTTTCTCCAGAGAGTGCATAATTTTGTCCATGTCATGTCTCCCCTAACCCTTTTTCTAAAGCCAGGTCGTCCCCAAAGTGGTCAATAATTGGCTTCTTTGCATTTTTCATGCTGCTCCATGTTATGGTGGTTGTCTTACATTCTGATTTTGGTAGCTTATTTGTGTTTATATATTAGGCAGGTTATTCTTTACATACATTCATACATGCTTGCTTGTCACTTGTCTTATGTAATTAACTCATTAGGTTTCCCCCTTTCATAGAAAGATGTCAGGGATATCCTTACCCCTGTACATGTTGAAGCCACCTATCGCCTCGGACATCATATTTTGGAGACAAAAAATACGGACGAACTCCCTCCACTCCAACCAGTTCTTCAACAGCGAAAAGAAAGTGAAATTATACGCAGCAAGGTAGAAGCATTGGACTCCATACATCTCTGTAGCTATAGAAAATATACACCTAATGTAAACTTTGCAAAGTTATGTTACGATCAAGGGTTTTGTGTGTGTCAGTTTAATACGGATACTCAATGGTACTTATCCTGAAAGGGGAATGTGGAAGAAGGCTTCTGAATGTTCTTCACTTTCCTTCCCTTGTCCTGACTGGTTTTTTCTGTATGGCGCTGAACTGAACTGAAACCCCATCTTTTAACATGGTTGCTATGTATAGCTGTATTAGCCCCATTTGTCAACTAGGCACTCCTCCCAGGAATTGCATGTGTGGAATAGCAATTTGTTAAATAATCCAGATATGCGGCATGTACCATATATTCAGTTTGGGCCAATTAATATGTTTGAGAGCCACCTTCATTGTATATTTGCTCACATGGAGGAAGTAAGGCAGGGATGTATGGCTACAACCAGGGTGAAGAACCTAGGCCAGTCCACTTCTCTAGGGTTTGCCAGGTGGATACTCCCTTTTCTCCAGTACTGGATCACGTGGTTGTTTCCCAGCTTTTGTGCAGGTTTCTGCCTAAAAACTGAAATTGGCTTTTCAAAGGCTTAGCTTTTGGCAGTAAGAGCTTTAAGCTAAAACATGCTGGCATTCCCTCCCTCTTTCTTTTCACATTTAGCCCCACCCAGTATGGGAAGGAGACCCCAGAGCGGTTCTCCAAAATTGGATTTGGCATTTGGGCTAAATGATGTTCAATAGCTCTGGGCTTTAGGATGCTCATGTGTACAATTGCCTAATACATTTGTTTGGATTCGGTGAATAGAAACAAATGGGGCAGCCTGTACACACACTGATGCCTGCATTTCCTAAATTGGTACGAAGGTCTGGATTATGCCCCCTGATGTGATCTGTTCTTTTCAAATTCACATGAGATTACTGAGACTTTTTAAATCTTTATGAAATATGCATAGTTGAGAAAGGATGGCTTCAAAATGTCCACTATGGCGGCAGAGCCATTGTCTTACTCTGCAGGAAACTCCAAATAGCAGTTAATATGTAGAGAATGTATTTATATGCAGCCTTCTACTGCTCACATAGTTTTCTGGATCACTGCAAATATTTTTGCTCCTTGATCTAATCTTTCCAATACCAAGACTGGAAAGGCAATAGTTAAGAACATAATGAACTCCTACAAATAAATGAAATGTTTCCCTTGACAGATACTATTTTGATGAAAGGTCAAAAAGATTTGTTTCCCTGCCATATGAAGTTTCCTAATAACATCAAAAGAAGCAAGGAAAAACAAGTCAGATATGAACTTGCCTGTGCCAGCTTCCCAGTAAAATGGCAAAGCCACTTCGATTTTGTTGCTAAACTGTTTCGGAAAAACCCTTCATTTACTAGAAGTATGCAAATCTCATCACCCAGGAGCAGGGGTACCCCTTCCATCAGGCAGAATGAAGTGACTGCCTCAAGGAAAGGCAGAACATTTATAGTCATTTAATATCTCATTGTGGTGTTTTTACTGCGGGTCTTGGGATTTTCTGCCAAAATAACTAGGCTGGCTTTGGGTGCCTTGTGCCCGGACTTCCTGTGGGCAGGGCATTTGCTGCACCATCACAGGTTAAAAAGAAAACATCCTTGGCCTTCCCTGTCCATCACAATTACTTTGACTTCTATACCGCCCAATAGCTGAAGCTCTCTTCTGATGAGGATAGGTAGGCCTTATGCAAGTCCACAGAAGGAGTGTGGCTAAAGGAAGAGCTGCTGCCAGAGACAGCCATTCAGTCAAGATTTCAGCAAGCTAGTCTGGATGACCGCAGGACTTCAGAGGCAGGCTCTTGGGTTCAAATTGGGCCTCTGAAAACCATGTAAGCTGAAGTCCCAGTGGAGCCAAGTGTCTCCCTGAGGTATTGGCTAATGTGGCTGCACAGAAACAGCCTTCTGCCCCAGCTCCCATGGATGGTGGAAGGTACCAGACTTGCATGCCAAGGAAGCAAGGGGGTCAGGTGGCAAGAAGCAAGAACGGAAGAATTCAGAATGCAGATTTGTATTTTGTTATATATAAACACGAGTAATTGTTGTTTTCCTTTCTCCAAAGTTCATGTTTGCAAGATTTTGCTCTCAAGAAAACTGTTCTGCCAATTTGCTACTTTCTGGGAAACTCGCATTTCCAGCGTAAGTCATGTGTGATTTCTATGTAGTGAAAAAGACTGTATGAGCTTTACAGACTTACCTTTCTGTATCAGTGAAAGGCAGAAAATCTTTCAGAAGGCACTAAATATAATGTCAAATTATTTACAGCAGCACAGTGTGAGTGTGTAAATCAGTGAGAGTGTTGGGTATGTATGCAAGGGTTGTGCTAGCTGAGGTTGTATATCCTTAGAAGTCTTTATTTGGCAATTCATGTTGTCAGAGTATTCTGTTGGTTTGAACACCTTTATTGACATCTACATATTAGCATAGTACATGTGTATTTTTAAAATAGTTTTGATAGTAATATTGAGACATGACATTGGGAGATAGCGAATAGAAACACATTAGCTTTGCAATTCCAAGTTGCCAAATTAATTTAGAAACCATTAAAATACTTCTTAAAACATTCAACAAGCTGTTCCTTTCGTTTGGTATGGAGGCACCAGATGGATAGGCATTCTGTTTTCATTTTTAATTCATTCTCCTTGGTTCAACAGGTTTAAATCTTAATAAAAGCTTTTATTTTGTTTTTAATGTTTCAAGATTCCCATCAGGTTGTATGTCCCTCCTGCCCATATACAATACCACTTACATACACTAACTCGCAGTTTAGTGTCACATTTTAAAGCACTGTCAACTCAGAGCTCATAAGCCCCTGGTCTGTGTACAGTTTGCTCTTAACCTACCCACCCTGTGCCCATGACTGGGTTTGCATGACATGACATCATGGGTAACCAGCCATCATGGGTAACCCGCCGCGGTTGGATGTCATGCCATCCAGTCCCTGAGAGTTTCACTCAGGATGGCTTTTCGGGAGCAAAGCCACTCTGACAACCCATGGCTTGTTCTTGGGTTGCCCAATCCACGATGCATTGCCACGTCATCCAAATCGTAGCGAGAGCTTTCTTCTTCGGTTCTGGGACTTGGCTAGTGGCCCACGTGGCAAGTGTGGCAAAGCTCCCCACTGTTCTTCACAGTCTTGCCCTCGCAAGAGAGGGCCCCTTCGCTGATGCCCAAGTAGAATTTTGGAACGACTACTGCCGGTTCCCCTACCCTCTTCGGTTTTTTCTTCTTTTTTTGTTTTTTTCAGTTCTAAAGTTACAGAAATGCTAATAATTTTTAAAATTATAACTACCTTTCTTGGTCTTTTGCAAATGCACACTTAGGACTGGTATGTGCAGTCTGGTCAATTTCTTTGTGTGTTTCAGCTGCCAAAGCAAAAGGGAAGTTTTGTAGATAAGAGACATGGAAAGTGACAAGGAAAGACTGCGTATAAACTAATTTGTGCACGGTTTGGGGGCTCGACTGCTGAAATGTCAGTTGAAATGCACCAGTGTGCAGAGAGGGGTGAGACAGATGAGGTCCAATTAAAGGGCAGTCCCTCCCTTGGCAATGTGATGCTGACAACGTGTTGGACTGACACTTTTCAGTACCTTGCCAGCTGTTCCAGAAGGGGGAGATTTTGGCTCCTCTGGTGTTTCACAGCTCTTTTTTTTCATAGAATCACAGAGGGTCTAATGTGCTGCTCAGTGCAGGACTCCCAGTGAAAGCATCCTTAACAGATGCTTGTGCAGCTGCAACTTGAACGCTTGCAGTGTGGGACGGCCGGCAAGTACCCCAGGCAACCGGTTGCATTGACCTTCCATCCAACAGCCAGGAAACTTTTCCTGGTCTTCCACCAGAATCTGGCTTCCTGCAGTTTGAACCCATTATTCTGTGTGCTGTATTCTGGGATGCTAAGAAAAGATCCTGGAGCTCCTCTGTGTAACCACCTTTTCTTCTCAAGGCTGAATATGTCAAGTTCTTTCAGCCTCCTGATCATCTTTATTTCCCCCCTTTAAACCTTTTCCAAACGGTCTGCATCTTTCTTAAAGCATGGTGCCCAGGACTGGATTCAGTAATCAGTGGTCAAGTACCCTAACCCTAACTGGTGCTGAGGAGAGGGAACTAGAACTAGTACTGCTGTGATTACTGCATCCCCCCTTTTTTTAACCAAAAAGCCCTGTGGATGTGGATGAATGGGATGGAACAAACAGCTGGGTGGAGGCACTACGGGAGCTCTTGCCTGGCTTGCTCCATCCTGGTCTGCCACCCGTGTAAGGCTGTTTCAAAAGAAAAGGGTTAGGCATGTTTGTTCAGTTTTTTTGGACTGGGAGATTTCTGCTAGTTCAATGACTTGGAGGTAAAGGGACAGACATCCTGTGTAAATTAAGTGCGTGGCAGTGAAAGGAGGGTGGAGGGGGACTTCGCATCCCTGCAGTAATAGAGCAGCACTCCATTTACTTACCAGCCCTTAAATTTATTCAGAATCCCTATTGGTTTAGCTCCCATCCATTAACGTTGTGTCTGTTGTTTTGTGGGGTGTTAGTACTGTTAGGAACCCACCGTCATGGCAGCAGGAAGTACTCTGAAAAGCAGCCATGAAAAGATGGGGAGTTAATAGATCCCTTCTGTGCAGTAGTTGAAGATTGAGGGAGGTGTTGAAAATGTGGCGGCCACTGAAAAGCCACCCATATTGCCAAAGGGGAGATCTTGCCCTGCACAAACATGCTTTCCATGAATTTTCCTTAGTGCTTCTTTTCCATGGCCAACTTGGCCATTGGTTCTTGGCCCTGGGCACAGTCTCGCCCAGCCTTCTCCAACCTCGTGCCTTCCACTCACCCAGAATTCCCCGTCAGTGGCCCTGCGGGATGGGGATTGCAGGAGCTGTGCTCCAAGTGCCTCTGAAGGTCCCCAGGCCAGGGAATGCTGATCTAGCCTATAATAGGCAGCCATGCCTTGTTAATCCCCATGTCTGCTACCGACTCCACTTTGCTGCTCTCTTTGACATAAAGTGATCAGGCGGGAATACTTGTCAGAAGACATAAGAATGCACCTGTGCACTGGCAAAAGGCAGACCCCAAAAGGACCCCAAGAGCACATTCCTGTGGCCCTGGGGGAAATGGAAGTGAACAACAAGGGGTCATGATCAGAGCAGGAAAGGAAGGAGATGCCGCAAGGGAGGCTGAGGACCAGTGGGGAAGGAGGATGAGGAAAGCTATAGAAGGAGGCGGACTGCTTGCTGCGCACACCAACACCCCACACCATGTAGCTTATTCTCAGGGCTTCGTGTGTCCTGTGAATGTAGGCACACACTTACACATGTGCGGAGCAGACTGAAGTTCAGACAAATGGGTCTGCCGCCATCATTACTTCTTTGGCTTTTCCACAAGGTGTGAGGCATTATCTATAATCTATCTGTGAAGCAGGGATTTATTTTCTCCAGCCAAACGGCCTTCTTTATCCCTGCAGTTCGGCCAGATATTTTTCAGCAGACTGCTAGATTCCTTTCTGATTGAGGAAATTTAGATAGCGATGGTGGTGATTGCCTTCACTGCAGTCCTATAACTTATCTGCTGATAAGGTTCCTTATGTGCCGTATGGGTCAAATAACTTTGTTTAAGAATAATAATGAGCTGTGGGTACAGGTGAAATCCTCTAACTCAGTTTTCTCACATTCCCAGACATGCAGCTAGTAATTTATGTGTGACTGTATCCCACACTGGGCACCTTCTCCCAGCTCCTTTTGGCACCCTGTAAACAAAGCAAAATGCTGTAGCATATAGAACAGGGGAAGAACACCAGTTATTTAAATATAAAGAAGTAGCTTTCGAGAAAGCAGTAAACCCCCTGATCCAGCCCCTGCAATGCTAGCATTTGTGCTTTTCTCTCTCGTTTGTAACTTAGCTGCTTATGTAGTGCTTTTACCTTCTGTTGCCTGTCTAAGTGCCAACTTTTCTCCCCAAGGTGTTCAGTGACTAATGTGTTGGTCTCAAGCCAGAATATCTGATAAATGTCTATTTCAAGGCAGCTCTTCTGCAAGTCTTAATTAAACTTTAATGTCAAATTGAAGTTTACTTTTAAATCCTCTTAGGTGCCTTTTGCTTGTTAACGTGATCAGGGAACACGAGGTGGGACATAAGAAAGACATGTTCACTCATGTGCACAAGCCCTGCCTGATTTTAACCTTGACAGGGAGTTAAAAGACAAGCGCTCTTCGCAGCATAAGGTAATAGGAAAGCAGCGTTCAGCCCAGATGTTCTAAAGGAGTGGGGATGGCGCTAGCAAAGGAGCCGTTCAGCAGGCCAAGCCATCCCACTCAAATGGAAAAGCTACATCAAGGATGAGAGAAGAGTGGGGCTTGGGGAGAGGTTTAGGGTGAGTGGATTGCCTTGCCAGATGGAGGAAGAATTGCATCATACCATGTTCCTGATCCGATCAGACGTGGTTAAATACTCCCTCCACTTAGCAAGACAGTAAACACACTATAAAAATGATGCGCGGTCATCTTTTTAGGCTTTGGCTGAAAGATGCAGACCAGCTACCCCAGAAAGAGCTTATCCTGATTCTTAGAATACCTGTATCACATGTCTGGATGTAGATGATAATTTCTTTCTTAATTGCCATTTTATCTTGCACTTCTTTTAAGGCGCCCAGAGTGTCTTCTCCTCTCTCCCGTAACCAGGCACATTGTACTCTATAGGTATCAACCCTATGAGGCAGGTTAGAGCAAAAGAAGGCCACTCCCCCAGCAGCAGGCATTAAATCTTCCTTACCGTTCAGCAAGAAGGTACAGATAACCGTGTCACCTGAGGAAGAGAGAGCTCACCCCAGAGTAGTTGGTCTTCTGCATGGGGTGAGTGGTTCAGACACGATGCAACCCAAGGGAAGGTACAACGTGACGAAAGGTGACTTGTACTCAGCCAAACCTCAGACTGGGCCAAATACGTAGCAAGAGGTATCAATTAAACAAATAAATAAATACGTATGGAGAAGGTGCTTTAACTCACAAGCCATGCAAACAAACCGAAGGTGGTCCAGTCTTATGGCCTCACTTCACGGGGGGTTCTCTGTTCTCCTACATCGGGCGGGGTGGGGCGGCTCAGGTATAGACAAATGCATTCTGCTGGGGGGTCCCCGCCTCAATCTCCCGTGTGAGATGGCCGTGCACATGTTGCCCAGTCGCTTCCATTCTCCCCTTGACTGCCAGTCACTTGGTGTTTTCCCAGCTTTTCTCATCCTCACCCCTCATTCTGAAGTGTGGCAATGCTTTTCTTAGGGCTTAGTAAGAGCTTTAGCTGCCAGAGGAGTCTTTTGATGCTGACCTCTTTGTCATCCGTTCTGCCCACTTTTGTGACGGGCCCCTGCGGGGTGCCCTGAAACGGCATTGGGCCCTTGGGCAGAAAATGGTTCGGGAGGCCCTGTTACGTAGCCAGTGCGTAGCGGGAGCAGGATGCAGTTCTTCCAGCTGGACTTCTTGGTGTGGTGGCATGCAGCCTTGTAGCCATTTCTTAAGTAAGTTGCCTTTTTAGATGTTCCAAAATTAAATCAATGTATTATTTCAATTTCCTCCAGGCCCCATGAAAAGAAAACTTACCTTGCAGTGGGAAATATGAAGATGTTAATGTTAAATGTCACCCTGTACAATGCTGGAGATGATGCCTATCAAACTGCCCTCCATATCCAGCTCCCCAAAGGGCTTTATTTCACAAAAATTCTAGAGCAGGTAAGAACCAGTGTGTGTTTTTCTATAAGCTCATGGGTAGCACTTCCTCCACCAATTTAAATGGCAAAACACACAACATTGAGTGTTTTGCTGTGTTGTCTGATCTTCATCCAACCTCCACTGCCTCATTGGAGTTGCAGGCTAGGCTGGAACTTGTTAAAGCAAAGGGGCAACTGTACCAAACTCTCCGCAAGAATGTTGGCCAGGCAGCTGCATAAGAGATGGAATGGTGGGGCTGAACAGTCCCAGCCTCTTGGAAGCGGAAGGGGGCTGAGATTTCCTCCTCTGGGCTCCAGCCTTGGGCAAAGAGATTTGGTCATGGCTCTCCACCCACCTGCTCACCCATACTCCTCCCAGCCAGTGGTATTCTGGTACCTTTTGAAGTCCAGGCTCTTAGCACGACAATCCCCAGAACCTCCCCCACAAGGAGAGTGGGAAAATCCAGGCAGGCCTTCCCACAAACCACTTTTTAGCAGCTTTCAGTACCATCAGGAGCAGATCTTTGGTAAAGCTAATGGATTTTAATGGACCATTCTAGAACAAGCTGCTCCAGCATTCTGTGCTTTACAACAAGAAACAATCTATTATTGCTGGTGAAATTAGTTTCCTGCCAGCCATTGTATGGATTTCAGCTGAGCTACAAGGGGATAGGGGAACCTGAGGAGGGGGTAGCAGATGCTGGTGGTGCCCTTGGTGGTAAAAAGGTATTGGCGTTGTGTCCCTGTGAGCACTGGCTGTGCTCCACCACTGCTCCCAGCTTCCACTAAAAGTTCTGCAGTGGTTGGCTTTCCTCCTGAGGTTCTGTTGTGACTTTGGGAAGATGATGGATGGGAAGGAAGAGGGCAGGTTGCTGGGCAGGGCAGGCAAGGAAGAGGCAGTGGTTCTCTTGCATCTCTTAAGCCTCGGTCCCAGGAACATGGCATGACTAGACAGGCCCAATGGTCCATCTGGCAAAGCTTGCTTCAAAGGAGAACGGGAAGGCCTCTGCCACTCAAGCCTTCCTGTCCGCAGTGGCCAAGCAGGCACTGAATTTTTGGAAGCCCCCGAAGTCAGAAGCATCTGCCTAGCAAGACAATGTCTTGTAGGATTGCACCTTTGGTAATATTCCTTAAAAGCATGGGAATGGCCCAGCTAAAGGGAAGCATTTCACAGTGCAACCCTATTCAGGTTTTCTCAGAACTATACAGTTTTGTGTTCAAATGGGGCTTACCCCTAGGAAACTGGATAAAGTAACGCAGGCCCAGTGTCTCTTTAATTTGAGTGGGAGAGATAAATGTGTGCTTAACTCCATTCCATCAGATGGGAATTAAAGTTAATTCATCTCCAGTGGATGATCGCTTACCCCTTTGTTAAAGGATACTTAAAACCGGCTTGAATAAGACTGCAGTCCTATTCACAATCCTACACCTTATGGGGTATGTCCCATTAAACTCAGTGGGGCTTATTGTTAAGTAGATATTGCACTATAAATCTGATTTTTATAGATGGGGGGGAGTTGAACGCATTCAGCTACAATGCTAATATCCCCCCGCATTGGGATGCGGAGCAGCAAAGTGCTGCACCCCAAGGCACAAATGTTTGCTGCTGGGGCAGGGGGAGAGGGAGGAGTTTAAAATGGAGAACATCAGCACTGTAGTAAACAAGTAGTAACTTGTATTATTTAGAAATAAAAATCAAAATATGCATGAAACAATCACAATAAAGGTAACAGTGGGATAAATATGCACATTGCAAGGTAATACCTCTTCCAAACTGTTTCCAACTCTTGTAACTAGAAGTAAAGTTTGAATTATCTAATTACTGAATACTGTAGAATTTCTTACACAATATCTAATTTTAGAGTGTGAAACAGCGTTTAAACTCCAGGATTTCACTATTTATTCTAATAGAGACATTAGTGCAGCAGGGGGAGTATCTGAGTCATTCTGCTAGTGCAAATGAAGTTGTGCTGGTGAAAACAATGTTCTGAAATAAGTACAAGGAGTGAATCCTTGTATACGAGCACCGTTCTTGCACCACCTGTCATGTGGAATGGCTTGTCAGAGCTCTGCCAGCACTAGTTGAATTTACTGAATTATATCATTGGATACTGGCCAGTGTATATATTTTTCCCTCCAGTGGCCCCAACATATTCAGGGTTTTTTTCCTGGAAAATTTCATGAAGATCTTGGAAACAAATAAGGGGAAATCTTCCTCTCAAACCTTCACAGCTTGACTGCTGAGCAGACTTACTGTTTATAGATACTCTTATAGGATTAAGGGCTTTAAAAATGTCAGAAATAGATTAAAAGCTGGTTCATATGATATCCTGGAAGTGTGTTTGGAACCAGGTTGGCTGCATTAGCTGTTTGTCTGCATAATTCAGGCCAACGTTAATCATGCACACCATTCAGGCCAAACATAAATGCATGGCATCAGCCTTCATATTCATCACTAACTGCATGTAAGAATTCCCATGGCTTGACTTTTGATGGCAACTATGGAACCGCCATAATGTATGGTTTGGGTTTGCGAACAGTTTACTTGAAAAGTGTGTTTAGAAGCAGAGCTGTGCAGAAACGGTCTCTCTGATTTCTCCACCCTATTTGTGGATGGCAAAATTGTAGGGGTAATTTCTGTCGTGGGAGGATTCTGCAGCTGGTAGGGCTCTATGTTGACTGGGGGTATACCATAGCTTCTTTCTTCCTTTCCCAAGGGTTTTTTATTTTTACACTGCCACCTGTGATGGCAGCCAGGTTTGCATTTTGCATCCTTCACAATGCAGGTGTGGGGTGGGGGGGGGGACAGTGTTGTATTCAGATCCATGGAAGAAGTGGAGCTACAGCTGAGCCCAGATCTGCCCTTTAATTTCCTGAAAGTTGCTTCCTTTATTTTGCCTCCTTCTCAGGGTGGGCTAGACTATTTGATCTTACTATTACACATCTCTTTCCTCTGCTGTCTCCCAGCCTGCCTGTACTTTCTGATCTGCAAAAACCTTCTGGAAAGAATTGCTACTTTTTGTCTATCGTAGCTTTAACTGAAGTGTGGGAAGCCAAGGAGGCTATTGGAGAGATGATAGTACCCAAAACTTGCACACACACCACTACCTCCTAAGCAAGTTTTTTTTTTTTTAAAGATGACATGATGATTTCTTTGAGAGTTTCTTCTTTGTATTTCTTTTGGAAAGTGATTTCTGTCAAATAAGAATGAAAGACAGACAGACAGACAGAATGCATATGGTTTTTTGCAATGTATTTCAGAATCCAGAAGTTTTCCTGTAGGGGCAGTCTGCTTATTAAGATCATGCAAACAATAAGCTAGTGGTTAATTCTAACACATATAACAGTTGATAGTCTTTTGTTCCTTTTCTAAAATCCAAGGCAGATTTCACAATTACTGCCATGTGATTTTATTGTGATGTTTCTGGAACTTGTGAATGACAATAATGTGTCATGTAAACACAAATATTTTCCTGGTCTTCATTACTAATATTCTTTCTCAAATCTGTTTCTCATGTTGCTTTAAGTGGATCATATTGGTTCTCATCTTCCCATAATATCTTATAAATTTTAATTACTGCCCCTTTCATCTACATATTGTCTTGCTTTTCCTTTTCTACTATTATATCTTCAAATTTAGTATAAGCTCTAAATCCACCTTTTTTCTCTCAATACCATTTTCCAATGAAAATTGTTCACCAAAGTTATTTGCCTGCTTTGGGAAAAGTTACATCTATGTGTAAGTTTTCCTCCTCAGAACTTATACTAGGGGCAACATTTTCCATCAGGAAACTGGCATGGTAAGAAGGGATAACCTCTCCTTTAATCTCTGGTCAAATTTGAGAGCTTTGTGGCTCTTCTTTACACTGATGTAGTGGGAGATCCTGTTCCATATTCTAATTGCTTTGTTATGTTTTTCCCCAGAGCTTTAACGTTTTCGCAAAGTATGCATAGTCTTCTTTTGTCTACTGCATTTATACTCTGTTTGTTATCCTAGGAAGAAGCCCAGATACATTGTGAAGTGTTGGAAAAAGGAAACCAAGGAGTCAAGCTGGACTGCAGTGTTGGACATTTATATGTGGATCACCTTTCAAAGGTTCCAATTATTTATATTGCTTACTTCTTCACTGCCAAACACAATCACAAGGCAGTGTGCATACAAGTATGAAAACAATATATGCATAAAAATTAAATAGATCCAACTAAAGTGAAAAATCGTTATTTTAGAAACAACCTATGTCCTTTATAGGTATTGCCATTATTTACACTGAGGAACACACCCGTCATTTAATAACCTCAAATATGTGGTTTTCTTGTAAAAACGTATCCTCATTTTTCTTCTTTTTATCTGTAACAAATAGCCTTGCAGCTGCAATGCAGTTCTTTGTTTCACTGTCAGCACATATTTTGTGACACTCCCATCTCTCTGGCAATAGAGCTTTCTAGAAAAAGAAGACTGCTATGATGTCAGCAAGAAGCATTTATTGCTGACGAGGAGTTACAGTGTATGGGGTGCTCTCAGCATATTGAGGATTTTAGCTGTCGTGTACTATGGGCTGTATCCAGTTGTGTTGGTTTGCTGGAGTGGAGCTTGTGCTCGCAGAGACCCCAAGTTCTGTCTTGGCTCCCCATGCGCCAGGCAAGGTGTTCCGTAAGAAGTTCTGCCAGGCATTCTGCAAAGCTTTGCACTACTCCTTATGACATCATTCGCTTACCTGCTCCTCACACCAGTTGTAATAATTGTTCTGCTAGTGAATGCAACTGCTTGCACCATACCGACATTGGTAACTTGTTCACTAGTGTAGCATTGGATATAAATTTGTATTTTCTGTACCTAGTCAAAGTAGTATTTGAAAGAATGCAGTCACAACAATGCAACATTCTTAGGCATCATGCAAGACTAAGACTGCTACTGTTGCATAGCACATAACGTAACACATACAAGCACCTAACAGTAGTAGTCTTATTCACACTGGGAAGGTTAAAAGTGCCTCTGTCCAAGTGAGCATGCGGAGGATTGGGCCAGGGATGAAATGAGTTATGAAGACAGCATACCGTTCAGCCATCAGTAACGCAACTTACACTGATGTTGTTAAATCCTGATAGGTAATACTGTATATAAGTAATAAAATGTTTATTGACTGAACACAGGTGTATTCGTGGATCCTAAAACATTTCATTTGCTCCACAGATGGATTTTAGTTTTGTGTTGGATGCAAGCTCACTTAGCAGGGCAGGAGATGACCTGAGCATCAGCGTTAATACAACTTGGTAAGTGTTGTTTACTACAGATTACTGGCTCCATCTAATATTGTCTCTGCATGTGAAAGCCAGAATAGAGAATTATAGGAGCAGTTATTGAAGTGAGCAGTTATTGAAGTGCAGGGAAACACGCATTCCACAATTTGCAGAAGGTCCACAGAAAGCAAACAAAAGCTTTTAAAATTGCATCTCTCGGTTTGGTTTGCAAGAATAGGCCATAGGTACAATACTATTGTGCTAAACTCTTCCAGTGAAAGTTATGATAGTAAAAGTATTTACCTTTGGATTGATTGTGCTGTCCCTTAATACCAAATATGCATTGTACAAAAGTTGCAGTCCAATTTGAACTGCATGTGCATGTTATGTTTTCTCATTTGTTGTTTTCCATAGTGAAAATGAACTGGATAATGACCTACTGTTGGACAACAGCCTAATTTTAACTTTGCCACAGAAGCATGAGGTTGAACTGAATGCTCATGGGTAAGCTACTAAATTTAATAAAATGCAAATTTATTTATTTTTAAACCACCAGAGCTCCTAAAATACACACAGAGATGTTTATGACATACAAAGCAATATAAAGAAGGTTTCCAACTAAGACGGTATGACCCTTTTTCATACTGCTTCTTCCCTCTTTTCCCTTAATGCAGAATATCTGTTAAGGAGAAAAAGATCAGCTACACAGTGTCTTTAGCATTTGGGGCTTTCCATCTAAAAACACTCATGGAGCTTTACAGTCTCTGTAGGATTTCGAGGAAGCCAGCACGGCACTTTCAGAAATCAATTGTTGAGTGTCTTAATTGATGTTACAAATCTTGGTGCATTTTTATGGAAAGACAATAGAAAAGCATTATGAGTACACAGAATGGTAGGAGGAAAATTGGATTATATCTAGAATTTGTGTATGAGACTCTATAAAAAGAGGCAACGAGATTTTATGAACTATAAAAGCACAGAGTTTAGCAAAAGCCTTTTTTTCTGAAATGGTTGCTCAGATCCACTGGTAAATTCACTATAGAGGTTTTTTGTTTTTGTTTTTGTTTTTTTTTTGATTAATGGTTTGTACATTTAATTTAGAGTCCACTAAAATGTTGTCAACGCAACCAAACTTTCCATTTCTTTTTAAGATTCCTGTTGATTTTGTTAATGATTTCTTAGACAGTAGGGAAGGTTTGGAGAATTTTTGAAAGGCTGAGTGAAGCTCTGTGTGCAAAGCCTAAGCTTTGCATGCAGAAGGTCCCAGTTTCAATCCCAGGGAATCTCCAGGTAAGACTGGGAAAGATGCCCCTGTCCGAAAACCTAGAGAGCTGCAGGCCATCAGCGCTGAACTGGGTGAGCCAATGCTCTGGCTCAGTATGAGGCAGCCTCATCTGTCCCTAGTGTTTGTGAACTCTGTTATGCTTAGGGTTCAGAAGAACCCTTTCAGAATCCATCTTGCTAGCATTGGGATCAGCAGACTTCCTCCCTGGCTCAGCCTGGTACTGCCAAGCAACCTGAGGCAAGAGGAGGTTTGCAAATGCTTATGCCTCCCCAACTCCCCAGCAGCACAACCAGCAACCTTCCCTGTCAGGAATGGCTGCAGGATGCGGAAGGGGGCACTGTGAGTGGGCGTGCTGGGCCCCATTGCCAGCAACCAGTCTTCTTCCCCTTCCCACAGCAGGCGGGGCTCCATTTCTGGCAGTTGCCCTGCAAATTCGGGCCCGCTTGCCAGAAACTCACAGTGCACTCGAGTTTGGGGAGCCGTGCCTGGTGAATTCGACAGATTCCCTCTCCCAGTTGGATTTCTCGTACATCCCTCTTGCCTGGCATGGACTACTGCTGTGACCAGGGATCGGGCTGCCTGTTCATTTTATGATGTCGACCTTTGTGCTGAAATGCAATACAAAACATCCAGTCCTTAAACTGTATAGGAAATTATGCCTTGGTAAACTAACGGCAGATGTTGCTGATGACTGAACTAATCACAACCCATTTTCTATAATTTCTCTTGGAAAACACCATTTCTAGGTCTGTGATGCCAACTTCATTTTTTTATGGACCTGGGGAGGAAAGTTCACCAGTGACTTGCATGAAGGAGACAATCAACTTCACTTTCCATGTAATACACATAATATTCTGTATTTCTGTAATACTGCTTTTTAAACAGTAAATCAAATGAGTGGCAAATCACTGCTCTTTCTAGAGAAATGCTTTTTCTTGCTAGGAAGTTCATCTGATTTCAATAAATCTACTCCTTTTGGGCGAAGCTTCGCCCACAGCAAGTGAGCTGCCTTCCAGTTGTTCAGGTTACACATTCCCTGGCCAGTTGTCAGGAATTATGGGAGCTGTGATCCAAAATATCTGGAGGGCACCAGTTTGCCCATCTATTTTGGAATACAATTCCTTCAGTATTACCTTTCTAACTTGCTTTCTAAGTTTAAGCAAAGAGCGCCAACATGAAGTTTTTCTGTTTCATATGCCAGTGGAAAAAGCCATGTTTGCAGCAGATGAAAACACCCCTTTGAAAAGCAGTGTGAACATGTTTGCTACTTATTTTTAATATTGCAACAAGTTCTTCACAACTATGAGCGGTGTGAGGTCAGGAGATAAAGCTGATGGATGTGAGGGCAAGAGATAAAGTTAGAAATGGATGGCAACTGAAAGGATTTTTTTTTTTTTTTTTTAGTAATGTCTGTTTTCAATTCCTTTTTTCTTTCACAATGGTTTTATGGTAATTTGTATCAGTAAAACATGATCTGAAACATGAGGAATATAAGCTTTGAAATACAAAGGGCTTAGGTATGAGAACACATGCTGTGAATGTCAAAATATACAAACATGTAGCATACTAAAGTACGAAAAATGCTAGAAATTCCATTAACTTTGAATTTAAAATTCTGAAAGGAGAGCACCCCCAGTTGTATCTGTGTTTGCTTGTCTGACCTGGATCCTAATTTAAAATAAGTTTTGACTATAATTTTGGCCTACTTTACTCCTAAGGTCAGTAATCCCGGATTAAGTCTGGCTCCTGCTGTAGATTTGAGGATACAGATACCCAATTCTTTGGCACCAAGCGAGACCAGGCTGTTTAATATTCTGGAAGTCAAGGTATGCCCAGTTTATTTTCTGCATTGGGAGTCTAATTTGTGAGATGGTGCTGCGTGGATTAGGCTTGGTTTCCCTCTCCTTCCCCTTTACTCCTACAGCCAGTAACCCAGGCCCTTCTTGCTTGGCAGAACCTCTCCCGTCTTCCCATCCTCACTCCTTTCGCTACTGCTTTTCCTTCGCAACTTTTACAGAGGCTCAGGAATCTGCCAATAAGGTGTGTGGGGGGGGGGGCGGGTCCCTGCCTCATTTTATTATTACTACTATTAGCATCCTTGGTCTTTTGCAAATGTACAACTGAGCTTATGTGGCCATCCAATATGTGTGGTCTTTCCCGATCTCTTTCTGTGTGTGTTTCAGTTGTCTAAGGGAGTGGTGTGGGGAACAGCTTAACACGCACGACAATTCTCAAGGCGACAATGGAGACAGCTTAATTTGTGCATGGCTGCCTGGGACCAGTTGCTGAGTTGTCAACTGAAAAGCTGGGCAGAGGGGAAAAGTGGCCAATGCATGTGCACGAAAAGTGGGGGGTGCAGACTTCCCCCTTAGGGAGGTGGTCATGTCACTCTAAAGGACTGATATTTGTCAGGGCTCTCCCACCTTTTCAGTATTTCCCCGAGGCTCCGGAAAGGTACCGCCGTCTTTTTCAGAGCACTTACCACTGCAGTTATTGAGACACCCTTACAGCTGAAAAAGAAATGCACACAAATTTAAAGGCTGAAAAATAGAGAATTCTGCATAAATTTAAGGGCCAGGGGATAAACAGAGGCTTTTGCAGGAATCGAGAAGTTGCATTAACTTCTCCATTTCTTTAGGTGTACCTATTTCCCTTCCGTTTACTTCTCTGAAATTTGTGCAGAAAGCCCCTGTGTTTAATTCCCAGTAGTTAAGTTTGCGTATTTTTCAGTCCTGAAAATGCATAAATATTCTTGACAGACTTGTTTAAAAATAACCCTTTATGGCGCATTACTTACACCAACCGCCTGCCCTATATGGCCCCATTCAGCTGCCTTCTCCGGGTTTGCTTTTGGAACTGCCAGGGGCCGACAGTAACCACAGCAGAAAAAGCACCAAAAGGCAAGGCTACACATACTGGGTAGTGCAGAGAGTGCGCTTGCAGAAGATCGAAGAAGTATAAACACATTTGAGAAAATTCTGAGACAGAAAAAAGAGGTATTGAAGCAGTAATGGCCACTCTGAAATGTCACTGGGGGCTGTACAGGCAATATCACGAAGAGCTAGTGGCTTGCTAGTTGAACCCCCACAATGCATGCTGAAATTGCTCTCCTGGGTTTGGAAGACACAACACTCCATTGTGGATCGAACAATTGCTAAAACAAGCCATGGGCTGTTGGGAATAAACGACCCTGCAGCAAACAGACAACCCCCCCATGACTTGTACCAATGGGTTGTCCTGTTACATGAACCAAGTCAGTAGATTTTATTAAAATAATGTGATCTACTTCTTAGTAAATGTGTTTAAAATTATGGCATATGAAAGTTTTAGAAGCTTCTTCTCAGTGTGTCTGAAAAGCAAATATAATTCTGCTTTTGTCCATTTTTAGTCAACTGCTGGACAATGCCAATACAGAAATGATGCAAGAGACTGTACTTTACCTGAGAAAAATGAAACTATATTTCAAGATTTCATCACATACTTTACAAAGCTTGAGAAGAGGTCATTGGTAATTTCTATTTTATTTATTTAGAAAATTTATAGGCTGTCCATCACTGTCATCCCTGGACGTCTTACAGTATATTATAAATCCTAAACGAAGTAAATTTTGTTTACAGATCTTTATAACCTGTTAAAGATAATTGGGTTGGATCCATAACCATCCACCATCACAATGGAAATGGTGGCAAAATGGATTTCCCTGCAACCCTGTTGTGACCCCTGAATCTGTTCTGGAGGGCTGGGGAACCATCCAGACTAGATTTGTGTGACAAGGAGTTGGGGAGAAATGCAAGTCCCATTGCACAAGCTGATGTCCACTCACATGATTTTGGGTTTAACCCATAATGTCCCTTAGTTACACACATCTATGTCATATTTTCATAATCCAATGAGCATTATTTCTGAATATAAAACTGACTGATCATGTATAGTACAATCTAATACTTATAACAAGATTTGATTTAAGTTAGTTAAAGGTAAACCCTGGACTTACGAAGCCTTAGCACTTTTTGTTTTCCTTTTCTTTAAACTTTCAAAATTGGAATATGAACCATGGAATGACCAAGGGAAGTAATATGATGATTACTGTTTCCTTTATAAAATACTTCAAAATCAAGTTAATGAAGATTTACTACCAAGACATTACAAAATAGTGGAAGTAAAACATACAAATGGTGAGAGATAATTTCATTCTGTGAACAGGCAGATTTAGTTTACTTAATTCATGTAAATAACATGCCATGTCAAAGACATGTTTTGTATATTCACTGGGATGCTAAAATATTGGAATTCCCAGCCTTCTGTGTGAAATTATGATGGCCCTAAAAGTAAGGTTGAGTAAACAAAGAAGTATGTCTTGAACACTCACCAGTAGCTCTGCTCTCTACATCTGAGGTTCTCTGTTGTCAAAGTTTTGAGGCAGCAGAGCAATCCATTACTGATAACTTATACAGGTGCTGAAACACCAAGCATATTTAAGGGCTTTATTTACTGCAGTGCAGAATTATGTCCTGTCTAAATAGATTTCCTGCCCATGTGTTTCCTGTTTTCCTCTAAATCAAGAGCTCTTCAGTTTTCTGCAGTATTTTCTGAGAGTGGCAGCAGGCAGGGGGGAGGAGGCGGCAGTCTGTATGGCTCTGGCTTCCAATCAGCGTCCTCTGAAAGGTGTAGGATGGGCTTTGGGTAGCCCTGCCTCCTTTTCTGCTTTCTGCCCTCATCTTCCCCAGATTTTAAAGGATCTTTGTGTGCCGTTCTACACTGCTGCCCCAGCTCTGCATGGACAGCAGTCACAGTATTTGTTGTCACAGTAATTGCACAGTGGTACCTCAGCTCACAAATGCCTCAGTCCACGACCAAATCAGGTCACGAACAGAAATTTCAGAGAAAAATTGCCTCAGTTCGCGAACTCCGCACTGGGTGGCAACCACAAGCGCGCCCGTCTCCCCCCACCCCCAAGCACGCCCGCCATTGTGACCATCCCCCACCCCTCCGCAGCACGATCGCTACCGCAAGATTATGGTTTGGACTCTCCCTCCAAACAATAACATTCTCTCCCCCAGGTTAGTGTCCTCTACTGTACTGTACTTTGTTGTTCTTTGTTACTTTGTTTCAATTTTTTGTGATTAAAAAAATATTTACAGAATGGATTAACCTTATTTACATTGAAACTTACTGGGAAATTTGACTTGGGTCACAACCAATTTGGGTCACGACCAGAGTCCTGGAACGGATTAAGTTCGTGAGCCAAGGTACCACTGCAGTGCAAAATGATGGTTAAGCATTACACCAGTTTCCGTTCCTGTGGTCAGTCCAGGGGTCTCTTGCTGTTATGCGGGTTTTCTCATATACCAAAAAAAACGCATTACATCTATCAGAAGTGGCTTTGTATTCACAATATTCTGGAAATGGTATTCTTGAAATTGAATTAAGGCACTCAGGTGTGTGGCATGTTTTTGACAGAACCTTTACTGATTTTTTTATCAATGAGTGGAAGAAATTAGAAACATGTTTGAATCAGATTTATGGTATAGGCAAGAAGAGTGGAATTAAGTTGAGGGTGGAATGCCCCCCCTCTGAGGGCTGGGTGATGACGGGGGATTTATTTTATTAGATTTATATCTGACCTTTTTCTTAGGAAGAACTCAAAGTGGCACACATCATTCTCTTCCTGCTGTGATCCCTCTTATTCTCAGAACAACCACCCTATGAGGTAGGCTGGGCTGAGGGTCTTTGGCTGGCCCAAAGTCACCCAGTTGGCTCCATGGGATCCAAATCACCCAAGTCCCAGTCCTGCGCTCTCGGCCACTACATCACACTGGCTCTCACACTGGGCTGCATTTCCAGTGGGCAAAGATGGGGCAAAGCTGGAGCATTTTGCCTCACTGTGTCTTTCTCAATTTTCATAGAAAATTGTTGTTGGTCTCTGCATGAGGGCAGACAGAATAAATCACTGTTTTAAAAAATGGGGTAAAGTTAATAGCTTTGCATAGTAACGTATGTTTGCTCTCTTTTCTGAAGTACTGCATGAAAGATGACCCATTCTGTTTGCAAATATTATGCAACCTTGGAGACATGGAGAGTGGGAAAGAAGCAACTGTGGATGTTACCCTGGAAGCAACTTCTGCACTGGTAGCTGTGGTAAATATTTTAATCTCTGTACTATCATAGTGGTGGTCATTAACACACGTACTTGAATATCAGAAACTCAGCTCCCTTTCTATGAAAATACAAGAAGTGTGAAGTCTTAACATTGGCTGGATCATGCTCTGTGTGGACTCCCAACTCTGCATTTTTAACCCCAACTCAATAGTCCATAGTATATTTACTTCTGATGTAGCACTGGCTTTTAGAGAAAAACTTACCTTTTTTAAAAAAACAGGAAGACACTTCATCACTTCAATTTGAGGTAAAAGGAAAAGTGTCAGCACATCAAGATCCCAAAGTCATTGAAGTATTCAAGGACAAGCAGGTGACACATGTAAGTATCATTGCATAGCATCCTGCTTCACTTGCATCATGGTTTCTTAAGAGAAAGCAAACCCCACTATTTAACTGGAATTTGCTTCAGGAATCTGATAAATGGCTTGGATATTTTGCTGAAAGCCAAATTTGCGATGCAGTAAATTTGGGTAACATGTATGATTATTAGCCTAAAATCCTAAGTACCAGTGAAACCAACAAAATTTAATCTCCCTAAAGCCATGTTAATATTTACACCTTGAAGACTACTGTGCAACATCTTTTTTTCAAAAACCTTGTTTGTGCTATTACAAGAACAATGGCACAGTCCTGCTCATAGTTGTGCCTTTGGGTCAATGTATGGGATACTTATTTTACTCCCCCTTATTTTGTGCAGGTCATTCTGGAGGGATTTCATAATCGAAAGACTAAAACTCCTGTTACAGTGCTATTCATTGGAATAAGTTCAATAATTGGAATTATTTTGCTTTTGCTTCTTGCATATTTTTTATGGAAGGTATGTACCTCAATCTTACTTCTTGGAATATTTTTTGTAAAACAGTCCACATCAGTTAAGAAAAATATCAATAAGACAGCAACAGTACAACACCTGACATTGCTGGCCATAATCAACCTGAAGTTCAGCACCTTTATTTCAGTGTAAGATTTAAAACATCTCTGGGAAATCAATGGGATTTACAAGGTGCTTACCTTTAAATGGATCATGCCCTTTATCTAAAAAATAAATGTTAACCATTTGCCTGCATTGAAATTAATTCTGAAATTCTGTTTTTCAGATTGGTTTCTTTCAAAGAAAATATAAAGCGCTTGCACAAAAACAGGATGAAAGTCAGAGCTTCATAAAAAGTGAACAAAATGATAAATGTGAAGAATAAGTTTTTCTATCTAACAAGGGAAGGATCCATTTTGTGAAAGGTACTGATTGCAAGAATGGACAAGTCATAAGTCCTTTTCAGAAGAGAGAGTTAATCTTAACTGGATATATTTCACAGAATCAAAGTCAGAGAAAGTCAAGTGAAAACAAGGAAACACTAGGAAAAAAACTACTCCTTGCTAAAAAAAAAAAAAAATTTTTCATGGGGTATTAGCTGAATCATACTTGAATTAAAGTACGTAATTTCACTGCCCAGAAATCAACTAATATAATTATAAATGTGATAAAAGAAATGCATTATAAGCAAATCTTGAGCCATACCAATAAATAATACATTTGATTCATCCAAACCACACAGTAAAAACATATTTTTCTATGTACCGGAGAAACTGGCATTCCCTCATATACAGCTATGTGAACAGAACACTGCTAAATTAGGCAAATTATCCTATGTTCTCTTTCCCCTTTCATTGAATTGGGGCCTGTGGCAGCAATTAATAAAGTTTGCCCAGGCAGAGATGCAAACAAATGCTTTTTTTTCTTGGGTTAGCCTGAAGCCAAAGCACAGCAGAGCATCTGACTTTAATGTTCCTCACTCCCAACTCACATACACATTAGGGGTGGGACGAAACCTGGTGAAATCTGTCCCTCTGGCATTTGCGGACTTCCTCTTGTGCCTGGCTCAGTCTCACAAGGTGAGCTGGGCTGAGAGGAAGTCCGTGAATATTCATTGAACAAGGGCTGCACAGCAGGCAGCCGCCTTCTGTATTGTGTACAGCTGCACTCTTAAGTGGACCAGAGTCTGAGGAGCTGAGCCCTGGGAATCTGGATTCCCGCCCTCAAATGGATCCCTCAAACTTTCCTAGGACACGTGAAGTTAATCTTTGTACATCATCACAGCATATAGCATAAAAGATATGCTATAGGGAGCATATCTTTTATGCTCCCTATAAAAGGCAGGGAGTTGGATCCTTTTTGCTCTGTGGACGCAAGGTGGTTCCATTGCCAGAGGGGTGGTGCTTGCTGAAGGACCCCTTCCATGAAGGAAAGGGCCGAAAGCATTATCCCCATTTAGGCATTCTTTTCCCCGTTGTGCCGCCTACTTCCCTCCACTGCAGTTCTTGTCATTCTCCATCTGTTCAGGGCAGTTAATGCATTGGGGAGCATTTTTTTTATCCTTGCAGGCTCACCATGTAGTTCCAAACCCTGAAAAGCTTCTGAAATTCACATGGGAAAGCTGCGGAGGCTAACCCTCAACACATGCAAGGCTAGTGTGGCTGTCGTTGCTATGTTAACGAAACTTGCAGTGAAACATTTATGTAGCATTTTTAGTTCCCAGCGGGCAGCTAACAGTCATCATTTGGGATGCTGTAACTGGGTGTGCCAGAGCCACCTTCCAGCTTTTGGGGGAAATGCAGTAGTCTATTCCCCTCATACAATCATTGTGTTTGGTTTGCACTGTTTTAACAGCTAGTGTATATAGATAAATCTGTGCTTACTTTAGAATGAAAATTTAGTACTCTTTAAAGATTAAAGCCCAAGAAAGCACACAGTGTTGCACTTTAACCCATGAACTTTTTTGAATAGAAGCAGTTTGTGTTGTCATTGCTGTGAGTTACAGCTCCAAATGTTTAGCACTGAAAATCATCAAATGTGGCATGGACCTATTTTTCTTATGGATCTAAAACCTGCCAATCTTTACTTTATAAACAATGGTGAAGCATTGCTGTAAGGATCACGCATATAATTTAAATACAAATGTTTTGATTGCATATCTGTTAAAATAACTCTGCTCCTTAAAAGAAAAAAACACTTATCCAGAATTCATATTCAATAAAGATTAACTTTATTTTGTATTTGACGTTTTGTTCAAATTCTGCTAAAATACTGTATTACACTGAAAAGCACATTTGATAAAACTGATTTTGTCTAGTCTATTTTTCCTCTGAGGATTCAGGTTGTTTCCAACAGTATCCTGCCAGCAGAACAGATACTGTTGGTAGATCAAATTTCTCACCAAATTTGTTCTGAAGGATTGTGGTGATGGCGGGGGCTGCAGGGAGAAGGGGAAGGGAAAACTCACATTGGGTTCTGCTTAGCCTTAAAGGCACAAGCAACAGTTATGCTGTAAGATGAAGTCCCCTTGCTTTAAAGGAATGGATTGAAACTGGTGTAAATGTAAGAATGACTCCTTGTTAAAAATGTTTTCATGAGGAATATACTGTGACTCATCCTTCAATTAAAGTTCATGACCTCACTGTCCAAAAGACTATTTCAATGTTCTTAAATATCTCTTTTCTTAAAAGAAAAAAAAACACTTATTAAGCATGTGTTAGCGATGTGCACATTAATTTATATTTCTGCATCTGTATCCCTAAGGAATGATCTCTGAAGATGTGCTTGTGGGGCACAAGCAAAAGTTCACTGGAAGGAGAAGGGAAAGCAGGTGGAGTAAGTTCCAAGGGGAACCACAGTTACTCAAGTCTGGGAAACATTGCCTTAGATGGTATTTGTGTGACTGCGATGCATTGCTTTTATGATCCTGGCTGCTGGATAAAGTCTGGGCACCAACAAGAAATGAAAAGGCAGACACATAGCACTGGCTGGATGTTAAATGATCTGCAACAGGACAAATGATCGCTCCTTTTAATGGAAAATGTGCTTACAATCTGGGGAAACTAAACACTGGGTCTGAGGTGCAATAAACTACTGTTTACCTCCATACCTCCCTCTGGACAATTCTACCCTGAACTTAATTCATCAAAGGACTCATGATAACTAACCACCTCCCTAACCTAAGCTTGGAGCAGATGAGCTAAGGGGCTCTTTGTTCAGTTTCCCTGAGCCCCATACTTCCAGGAGTGTGGTTTAGGCACTCCCCTTTATCCTACGGAAGCTTTCCCATGCTTCTTGTGCTTATCTCCATCCATTAATCTTCTCAAACACTTCATGTTGTGAACTCTGACTTACAAAACTGACCTAGCAGAGAAAATGTGGGGGGGAACCACTTGTTATCAAGGCTGATTTGGATGGGGGGGGGGATCCTCCTCCGATTCAAAAAAGGCAACCAGCATTTAGTTACTTCTGTACAGTTAGTGCAGTGTACATTCCAGGGCATATTATAATCAGAATGCGTATGAACATACAATCATGAGATAATAAAAGAACAATTAAAAGCTAGTTCCACTGTGCAATGCAAGGGGCCACATGGCTTGCCAAAAGCCTAGCTTCGAACAGTTGATTCTGTAAAGGGCGGGAGACCATCAGCAGGACAGGGCCCCACTGCAGGCACTTGCTGACCCACATCCTCCCATACGTGCTTGACCAGTGCAGAGGGAGAGAACCAGACTATTCCTTTCCCACTCTCTGTGCAGCAACATATTAATTTGATAATCTATTTTAAGTCTAATTTTGCAAAGATCTTGAGGTACATTGTGGGGATTTTGAAATGGCTTTAAGTTCAACTAAATTTTCCTTTTATTTCTTTAATCTCTTGTAACAGTTTCTTGATCATGTTACCAATGGAGTACATATTGCTTAGAGCCTTGAATCTAGAACATGGGTCCTCAAACTACAGCCCGTGGGCCGGGTCCAGTCTGCCTTGCTGATTTATCTGGCCTGCCTCAGAGCTTTTGGACTCGCTCAGAGAAAATGATCTCCAAGCAAGTCCAAAAGCTCTGAGCCAGTGCAGGCGTACTCAGTGGGGAGATGGCCATGGTTGTGCCCACCTTCCCTGTACGAGCGCGCCCACGATCGCACCCCCCTTCCATGCACGATCATGCTGGGGTGGTGGTGGGGAGATGGCCGCAATAGCAGTCACACTCATGCAGGGAGGATGGGCGTGATCGCAGTCGTGCTTGGTGGGGCAGGGGAGATGGCCATGATTGTGGGGGGGGGGGGGGGGAGATGGCCGCGATCGCACCTGCCTTCCATGCATGAGCATGCCCGTGCCCACCGCCTTTCAACTGGCCTCCTGTTGAAAAAGTTTGAGGACCCCTGATCTAGAACATGTCACTGATTCCACCTCAGTCACTGAAAGCTGTTTATCAAGATGAGGGAGATGCAAAATATAAGAATCATTCATTTCTCCTGCAGAAATATCATTTTTCAGGAATTTGTATCTCTCAGCTTGGGTTTTGGTCTTCATCATTTTAGCACATGTTACTGAAAAGTCAGATACATACATAATTTAGCTAGAAAATAGATAGTTCTTTTCATGAACTGCTTCTAAACATAGCTGCATGATCCTTTTGGATTATCCAGTGTATCAATATTCTGTCCATACAGATTAATTAATTGGGGGTGTACCCTGAAAATGGGAGAACAGGAAAAAATCATATCAGTACTATGACACTTTATATAAGCACTGATCTACATGGATTATCCACTCTGCAGAACATAAATGCAAGAAAATCTACCAAGTACCTAAACTCTAACAGAAATACATGCAAATTTAATGGCTACAAAGTAAATGGATGGGAAATATAACAGAAATTTCACCTCTGTTTACTCCCAGGCATAACTTGTGTGCATCTCTCCCCGCCATTTACTTCCCAGCCATGACATTTGCATATATTTTCCAGTAAATGAATGCAAATTTGATAGGCTGGGAAATATATGCAGATTTCAGTTTCAAAGTGGCAGGACAGGATTGAGCAAATGGAGTGTTGGCACCAGTGAGACCCCCCCACCCCACCATTTGCTCCAATTCCACTCATTCCCCTTGGTGTGTGTGGTGTTTTGGGTTGGTTTTGTAGAGCTATCATGGACCCACAATCACTGTTCCAAAAAGGTTTGACAAAGAGTTAATACCTTCCCTTTCTGGAGTAGCGAGAGATACTGAGAAGCATGAAAAACATGAAGAGCACTAAGAACTGTTGCTGTAGTACTTTAAGTTTAGTTCAGCTTGTTGATTTGCAAGTGCCCATTGCATATAGCTAAAATCAGAGGAACTGTTTACATTAATGGACCAGTTAGTGACTATAAAATAATCAAACATCAATCTTACCGAACATGAATTTCTGATGCCCATTCCATTAAATCTCCATCTATGTTCCAAGGATAGCTCTTTTCTGCAGAATTCAAAGTATTTCCAGTGACATGTTCACTTCCAGTTCTTGGATGTACTTTTACTTCTTCAACAACGTAAGTTTCAATAAAGGGAAAATTGAACTAAAATTCAAAAAAAGTTTCTTAGAATCTGCTAAGGAGAAAGCTTGCTGGTTCACTTTTGCGGTCTTGAAATAAGTATGAGTCTGTGGTTATTACCAGAATTTTCTTCTATAAATTAATCTCAAACAATCAAATGATACAAGATTCCCAAAGGCATAAATTGATTAAAGATGCCACAACTGACATAGCAGTATCAGATCAGCCTCCAAAGGCATTCCCTTTTCTGATTTCTCCCACTTGCCCAAATGGAAATCTACACAATGCTGTTAAAGAAAAAAAGACATGGGAAGGAATTGAAAATCCCATCTTCTTCTAAGTTCTCCAAATCAAGGCCAAGGGGTGCTATGTTACTACTTTTGTAACCAATGGGTTGGATCCAGGTTTAGTCAATGCTTATGACCCATAGCAATCAAGTACTTTGTGACTTGAATGTTTTGTAGAATGCTAATGGCAGTTGCAATGTAGCTTTGAAAATATTCCCATTAAGAGCAATACATACCTGCAGTGTGTTTCAAAGCTAATAATTTAAAGGCTACTTGTGTTAGGTACAATCATGGAATTATACATTATCTTTTCTGTCTCTCCTGAAACAAACAGAAGAAAGCAAGGGTGGAAGCTAGGGATGTGTGAGGAATCTGTTTTGCGTAGAAAATCTGCTGGATTCCCTGGTTTCAGCTTCCCAGACTCAGCCCAGAGTCTGAAGTTGTTAGGGCACCCAGGGTCCATGGGGTGCTCGCCAGGAATCAAGCCCCACACACTGCCCTATGCCTTCCCCATGGCTTTTGCATTCCCCTGGTTTCCAAACCTTTAAGGAGATGGTTTGTCAAGGAGATGCTCCTGAGTAAATATCCAAGGAAAGGGGGGGCTCTCTCCCCACCCCCCCCCAAGGTGCAGTGTGCATGTCCTCGCCCTCTCTAAATTCTGCAAAGGTACTGTGTTGTTTGCCACTGTGAGGATGGTGCTTTATATCTAATGTTCACCTGTATAGGTGAACATTTAAAAATCCTAAGCAGAAAATGTCACAAGCCTTTACCTGCTCTTGATCTCAATATAGTCAACATTTAAATATAGAACTGGGTTTTTCTGAAAATCAGTTTAGCAGCTTTACACTCTGGTGACTCCTATATATAAGAACCACATACAACTAAATCACAACAGATGGATGGAAATAGGCTAATCGGTATTAGTCTGATTGGTGATTTTCAGAAATCAGATAAAAGTGGGCTAATGTATTCTGACAGGAAGCTAAGTCTCTTTATAACATCTTCTGTGGTGCTTTTACTTCTGTTTTTATTTTGTTATGCTTTAGATATTTTGTTTTGTCTCATATTCTTTTCTTCTCTGGCCTCCAGAAGACAGAGTTGTGAAATGAATTTATACAATTTTGGGTTGCAAAATATAAGAGTAAGCCTTTACCTGGTTTTTCATACTTGCGTATCTTTTCAGATGTTGAACAAACTCTGGGCGAGAAGTGTTTCGTACAACAATGAGAGCTATGCCTCCATCATTCATTCTAAAAACAACATGGCTCAGTTAAGGTGTGGAACTGCAAAACTCACTCTTTTTAATCATAGAAACAGCGTGATTCAGAAGGGGTCTCCCAGGCCATCTAGTCTGACCCCCAGCTCTAGCTGGCGCTACTCATGACATGCCTACCATGATTATACAGGAATAATGAAAACAAGGTCTAATTAGAAATCTATTTAGTGACTCTAGCACTTCATTCATGTCAGTATTTTTCACTTGACTGTCTATTCAATAAGCAAAGTATCCATTGCACTTGCAGAACACACTGCTTATGCAATGGAGCTTTTCCAGTTTTACTATGAACCCCTGGGAATGCGCAGGAACACTCACTTCCACAATAGGCCAGGTCAGTGTAGCTTGCAGAAGAGAGTTCTGCAGATCTGTCCCGATCTGGAAATAGGGTTATTTTTAGAAGCACAAAAGTCCTTTTCAACCAGAGGAGGCAGAGTTACCCTTCTGGCTGCTATTCAGTATTATAATCCTCACATTCTGTAAGTCAGGATGAAATATAGTTTCTTTCCTCAACCCACTGAGCAAGTTCATGGCAGAGATGAGCTTTGAACACCTCTATTTGGCCCCACACTTCCAGAGTGTGTCTCAGATTCCCTTTTGTCTGCTCCTGCTTAACTGGCACCATCTGGCAATTCAGGACCAGGTGTGAGTGCAGCACCAATCACCACGGACTGATGTGTGTAAAAGAGAATGGCTTTGTTCTCTGTGCCCTGGACTATGGAACTCTTGCATGCGCTGAGCTGGAGTCCCCAAATCTTACTCAGAGCATCACCTCCTCACAGTTTAATTAGCAATGCCAAGAACCCTCAACTCTTGCAGAAGGTAATTGAGTATCTCCACGCACAGGCTTCTCCATTCAATGCACACACTAGTTGTTTTGGGAGGCAGGGGAGTTGCGATACACTGAATTTAGAGCCCAACCAGTTATGGTAATTCCAAGAGCAATGCTGACTAACGCTTGCCCAACTCCCTCTTAGAAATCTTCTATTGAGGGCCCATCATTGCACCTCTGCCTTGCATGATCCTGTCCAGTAAAAAGTCGACAATGGCCTGTGAATGCTTGCTCTCCCTGCCTGTAAGAGATTTATCCTGCTGCTGAATGAGGATCTTGCTCCCTTTCCCTCTGTCATGCTTCTTCACTGAGATGAGGAAAGACAGTGTCTCTCACCCTCTTCCTTGTCAGCTTTTTCAGCTGCCATCCCCTTCTCTTCCCCTGCATGTAACATTCTCTCACTCCCTTTCAGTTCAAGCATCATGGCTGGCGCACTGCTGCTTTTCTCATTCTCTCCCTCTCTCTGAAAAATCTGGATAATATACCTTTAACTAAATTTTGCTTTTGAAAATCATCTATTAGAAATTACTGTGTTCCATATTGGAAGAGATTTCCTTTATTACAATTCTAACTGATGCACTGGGCAATTCACAAGGTTACGTAAAGAAGAAGCCTTACGGATCATGATATGGCATCTACAGGACAGAAGGAATAGAAGCCTTTTCACATTTCTTGTTTGCCTGCTATACATATAAATGCATAAAAGATGGATACCTAGCCCAACCTTTACTGTATATTAAATGCAACACGCCTTACAACTGTGTACCTGTTAGAGGAGGCCACAGGTAAGCTAGCAAGTATATTTTACAGGTAAACTAGAAAGTTTTTACAAGTGTTGCAACCAGACAACTTGTAAAAGATGCTCTAAAATAACAACATTGATTGTTCTGGCATTCACTGCTTTTCATTCTGCATACAAGTTTTCACAAATGTTTATATCTTGTATTTATTACAATAATCAATTGTTCAGCTACAAAGAACTAGATTGCCTATTAACAAATCCGCAGGGAGATTATTCCTTGATGGCTTACCACTTAAGACGGACTTGTAATCAGTGTAATTATCTAATGATTATTCTAGGTAGATGACCTCATCTGCTTGATCCAAAAATGGTTACAATTTGTGAGATTAGAGAGTCAACAGTACTCTGTCTCATCACTCTTCATCCCCTTCTCAGCCTCAGAAGAAAGGTCTACATTGCTCATGACACAAGCATGCATCCTGGGGATGCCAAGATTTTAGAGACATGACTCTAATTCTGTAAATCCTTACTGACCTGGTATTAGGTGCCAAGCCTCTTGGTGCCATTGAACAGAGACAAGGGATTGCCATAATGCTCACATTGAGGAAGTGACCCTGGATCCTGTGCCACTGATCCTCGCCGTCTAAATACAACATCATACCGTATTACTTCAAGCAACACTAATTATCTTCTGAAAGTGATTAAACTTGAAAACTTACCAGATTTAAGGCTCACTTGCTTCTTCCTAAAAAAAAAAATGTGTTAAACAATTAGAAGGCACTGAAGGAGGTAAAATAACAAATAAGAAAATGCAACATTTGTGCTTGAATGGAAACAAAATTAAGATTGAACACCAAATAAGAAAATACAAGTTAAGTCTGATATGAAAGAATGGCAGGCTTGAATTTTGATCCCAAGCATATTACTGTAAAACAAGTTCTGCAAAAGTCAACAGGAATTATTTTTCATTAAAGTTTCAAAAGAAGCACACTAAATTTCTCACCTAATTTTAAATTGCTTATAGTATAATCTGAGAACAAAACAAATATCAAATCCTTCATAATATAAGGACACAGTCCTATGGGGATGCCCCTAACCATCCATGTTTGGACAATGATGGGCATCCTATGCGGATGTGGAGGACCATGGAAGCAAAGGATGCCCCTGCACTGCTTCCTTCCAGGCTGTGAAATGAATTATTTTACCTGTCTAATTGTAGCATTTTGGAGGGGAAGGTAAGGAGGCTGAAGCACTGCCAGAATACATTGTGCCTTGGCAGCACTCCTTTGAATGCCCACTGCAAGCAGTATGAATCTGAGCATGGATCCGCAGATCTGAGGTTGGAGAGATTACCAGCTTCGGAGCTGGGCATCCAAACAATTCTATGGTCCCTGGACACTGTTGCGGGTCACAGCCTACTGTAGCTCTTAAGTCATTTTTTTTACAGTGTAGCAATCAGACCACTGCAATGGTCCCAACCAACTAACATTAGTCATAGTTGAACAGAATTCAATCCAGTGGTGTTTCAGTCCATTACAATTAGCAATTGCATTGACACTGTTATGAGATACACTGTTAGGAATCCAGACTTGTGACTGGTTGATTTTTACCTAGCATTTTCCTGGCAATCTTTCTGTACATTCTTCAAAGGCAGGAATGATAATTCACAATCTTCTGGTCTAAGGAAAGAATGAAATTAGTTCATACAAAAAGAACTTTGTCATACTAATTTAAATATTTGCAATAATTCCTTGACTTTGATATTGTAAGACTTACAGCAAAATCCTACATGTCTACTCTCAGCATATTCTATTAAATTGAATGTGGCTTATTTCCAGTGATATGGATCTAAGATTGCAGCCTATATTAGCTACTAGTCTATATCTAGATTGTTTCGTTATAATGACAATCATCAGTCTTTTGCAAATAGTTAAACATATGAATCCACGTTTTCTACATAGTGCATTTTCATCCTGAAAGTAGCACAATTTGTATCTTAAAGAATTTATCATACTTCAGACTTGCCAGTGCCTTGATCACAGCAAAATCTTTTCGCTGATTTGATGGCATCCAACGATGCTTTTCAGCCAAAGCTAAAGTCCTTGCCCCAAAACCGAACATAGAAGAGAACCCAAAACGAAGTAGTTTGGTTGGACTACTGAAGGTGCAGACATCCACTGACTGTACATGCCCTGAAATAGTAATATTAATGCAAATATATGTATGGGTTTTTTAATATATTTTATTTTTGTTCAACCATCATTACAGGTCTCAGCTTTCATGATCAAAAACAAATTAAAGCATGCACTATTTAACTTCAACAATAATAAAACAGTTAAAACCTTTAGAGAGCCAGGGCTCCTATATCCTCTCTCAGTATTAAGCACCTATGTGTTTAAAAAGGTCTCAGAGGAAAACTGAGACTTCAAAAGGCAGCAATGAAAGACCTAGAAAAGTGCAGGAACATTTCAGTGGAGACCAAGGCCAAGATCTTGGTCTTGGTCAACATTATTATATTCCCTATCCCTGTGCAGAGGTGTGAAAGCTGGACAGTGAAGAAAATGTTCTTGAAACATGCTGCTGGAGAAGAAGTTTGTAAATACTCTGGAGCAAAAGAAAGTAAAAATGGGCCCTAGATCAAACGAAGGCAAGAATGTCCTTGAACCAAACATGAAAAAACAGGCTGTCGTACTTTGGGCACATGTAAGAAGGCAAGTCCCACTGGAGGAGACAATAACGCTAAGGAAAGTCAAAGGCAGAAGAGGAAAGAGAAGGCCTATGGTGTTGATAAATTCTGTAAAGGAAGACAGAGCCTCGAGTTGACAAGAACTGAGCAGGACTGCCAGAGACAGATCAATCTGGTGGGCATTCATCATTCACAGGTCCCCATAAATCAGAGACTCCTTGACAGCAAATCACAACAGCAGCAGCAACATATTTGAGTAAAAAGTAATAAAATTCTACCACCCTCAACTATCAAAAGTTTTTGTTTCATTTTCAGCTACTCTTATCCTCTGTATTACCATGCAACACAGCCCTGGCTTTTCAGGAGGACCCTAACCATCTGGAGAAGTCCTTTGTGGGTGAAGGAGGCAGCAAAGGAAAGGGTGGGAAAACTGATAGCGTGATCCCTCATGCATCCCCTTCATGCAACCACTGGATGCGCCTTAATGTGTGCAAGAAAAAAAAATGAGTTACATGTGAAGGACACACATTCTTCTTACATGGAAGTTATGTATGAGGTAAGCAGTGAACTACAGACTGACTGTAGTACGGTAGGGAAACCAACATAGGTACAAAAAACTTTTGACAATTTCAAGAACAGAATATTGTACACAAGAAACATGTATTCAGGCTTGTCAGTATTATACTATGCTGCCTTTCCTTTTCCATATACAACATGACTTCTGCTTAGCAAAATATTGGTTGGTTGGCTGGCTGGTTGGGAATTTCTATATACTTCTCAAAGAAATTCCCAGGGCAGACTCCATTAATACTAATTACTAGCATGTTTATGATCTCCCAATAATAGCCATGTGTAACTAACAGAGAAGATGTAAATCAATTGTTAAAAACTTACAGATGAGCTAGAAAAATAATATCTTTCTATAGCTGCAGCACACTACCAAGTTTAACAGGGAAATATCAAACTCCTAGAACGGGTTTTGGCACATGTTTTCCACCATGTGTGCATACGAGTACAAAAGGGTGGAATGCTCATGAGATTCCAAACAGAAGACATTGTCCTCAAAGTAAGAGTAGCAACACCTCATAATGTTGCTACAGACTGCTTAGACAACCAATTAGTGATGAGGTGGTTGGAATCAGACCACACAAAATGGGAGTGTGCCTCACAGTTGTCTCACTTGTCACGGTGAAACTTCCCTTGAGTGGAAGACCCACCTATGACAGAACCTATTCACAAATTTCACTATAACAAGGGTGGATTGTGTGTATGAATGATTTGCAATAAACATCCTTCCAAAGTATGCCAGGAATGTACAAAGACACTTCTCTCCAAATGTAGGAGATAAACCAAGTAAACAGTTTTAACTGAACTGCATGCTGAAAAAAGAGCTCATACTAGAACTTAACAATTAATGGCATTCTGCATTCACACTGAAAAAGCAGCGCTAAACCTCTTATTAACATCTGTTATTTGAAACTAATAACTTGAATGCAAATATTCCTCTTCCATATCCCCAAATACCTCCATCCCCATCCCTCATAGGATAAGAATGGATATTGAGGAGGAGAATTCCTTCATTCTCTCTAGCACATTGGAAATTAGCTCTCCTCATGCAAAGAAAGAGAATGGCTCCATGGGAAGGTCCCCAGCTGGAGGTCATATCCTGGCTTTCATACACTTCTTTCAAGTGCACTCAGAAAGTGCTGCATATGAAGCATAGCAAAGCTCACTTACACTTCTTCATACCACAGCTATTACTGGCATTGTCTGAATCACATAAGTTTCACATATGGCTAAATAGTATAATCCTATTTGCCTTATTAACTCAACACGCAAAAATGTAAATGAAGTCTTTTTATCTGTGTATAATAGCAGTATTTATGAGTTACCCTCATGTAACACAGAATACTGAGAACTTCTTTAAAGTTCTGAAGGATGGAGTACTTACCCATTATTATATGCAATGCTGCTGTTAGGGCATGTTGGACTCCGTTCAGAGTATGTGCCAAAATATTTGTAGAACCTGTAAAGGTTAAAGAGTGTGCTAACAACCGAAACCATCAGATAGAATATTTCAAAATTAATCCCCTAATCCTGTTCAAGTGGGACCGCTTGATCAGCAATGGGTAATGTGCAGTCCAAGGCATTAAAAACAGCCTTTTTGATCCCTTTAATTCATTTTTATTTATTTGCAGTATTTGTATACTGCTACATATCTAAACAAATTCCAGGATGGTGAACAATTAAAAGATAAAGCAGATACAAATAGAATTCACTAAAGACAGGAAAACATTAAAACCATGGCTGGTCAACAAGGAAGGCTTCTTGGAGCAAGGCCATCTTCAGCAGGCAATGAAAACTAGTGTTGAAGCTTATCTGACTTCCAAAAGCAGTAAGTTCCATGGAAATGGAGCTACCACACTGAAGGCTATTCTTCTGGTGGACTCTGGTTGGGTCACGGGTCCCTGTGGAACCACCATGAGAATGTCCTCTGAGCACCTCAGTGATCAGGCAGCTTAGTAACAGAAAATGTCCTCTCTTAGGTAGGTCAGAGCTTTGAACACTAGAACTGGAAAACATGGATCTGGAATAATTTATTTATTTACTATTTATTAAAACATTTTTATGCCTCCCCATTCGCCGAAGCCTCGGGGCGGCTTACAACAATAAATAAATAAACAACAATTTCTTCCAAGCTTATATTTATCTCATCAAAACCAATTCCTTTACCTCTATAGAATTATAACAAGTTAAATACTTTGTCCTCTGAATTCTGAAATCACTACTGTTTATTTTTTTTCTTTTGCAGGATCCTTCCTTGGAATCTTCAAAGCAAGCTATGCTCTGATCCTTTACCATTTTTATCACCCAGCTTTAACCCAGGATGAGCACAAGCATGGCTTCCCACAACAAGATGGACAGTATTCTGTTCCTAAGCACATTTATGTAGGGTTAGTTAAATCTCTGGTAATTTCTACTATTTCAGCATGATATTACACTTCTGATGCTTAGCATTTATTTGACACTAACAAAAATACTAGTAAGAGAAATAATCATAAAGCCTACAGATTCCTTGCAGATCATGGATTTTACATTTCCTCAGTGACAGCACAATGTAGCAGTAATTTAAGGCCTATTTATTAAAGAGTATTTTAAGTTATGGCAATTCTCACTCTGTGGAAAATACATTTTTTCACCAACTACATTCTGTAAAATAATACTTAGGTTCATATGCTTCTGTTTCTTCTAACATCAACTGCTAGCCAATCCTTATTCTGAAGGATGCCAAAGAGCACAACAGTATCTTCAGTTCATGTAAAGCATGCTTGCTGAAGGTACCAGGCAAAATTATAGGGGGAAATGTCCTTGGAAGTGCAAGCAGTCCTGCAGAACAATTAACTTAATTAAGCAGACAACATGAATATTCATAAGTCTGTTAATGTCTCCCACATCCAAACAGATAAATGTGATGTAATGACTTCCTAGTCAAGCATGTCTAAGAGTCTCATGAAAATTGCACCAAACTGTGGTTCCTTGCCCAAACTATCATGGAAACTAAAAGTCACATAACAATATTTTTTCTCCACAAATTAATTGAAGGGAAGAATTAATATAAGTGGATGAATTAGGACTATAAGAATTGTTCCATATATATATATCCCACACACACACACACACACACACACTTCCCTTTGTTCTACAGCAATTAAACTGTTTTCCCCCATCCTTCCAGTGTTGTTCCTCTTTATCTAAATCCCTCTGTACAGTTCCTCAGCTATAGTTCCCATAGCAACAAACAATATTCCTAAATGGCCAGCAGAATCACCACAGGCTTCCTCCATCTAATTTGTTTTATTTTGACTACAGTATAGCAGTTTGATATGCGGGCCTTGTAAAGGCTTCTTTCCTGAAGAGGACACCCTCTTTCATGAACAGCGTGCATGCGCTCTCTCTCCCACACAACTTGAAAGCTTCAATTCAGGCACTTACTGACTGTTAGAATTCAGGAAATGGATGGTGGTCTTTACTCAGAATTTCACCTTCATAGGCCACTTAATTCAGGTTTGTAAAATGCATCATCTACAGAGCTAATACTGTAATTGTACACAAGTTCACAGAACATCTTTACAGACTTTAGCAAGCCTTCACCGAAATGCATTTAGAACAAACATGTTAAAGGTTAATTGTTTGTTAGATGCTAATTCAAATTTGTTTCATTGCCTTGCAGTCTGACAAAAACATCTCTCTCACTTGTGCTACACTTTCTTTTATTAACACAGAGTAAACAGCAGAATAAGATGTGAAAAGTTTCCATTCCATCTCACCTAGCTTTCCTAGCAGCCATAATGACAAGTGAAGGTCAGAGTACTAGCCTAATTTTTGTTTCCTCCATGTAATTAGCACTATTGTATGCTTCTTGCTGAGTCCTTGTTCATCTTATTCTACCTCATATATCAACTTCATTTGGCAATTTATATACAGGTTTTAATGGGGCATTATGTTTCAAAGTAAATACAACAGCCAAAGCAAGACAAAACATTTTGCTTTGCATTTTAATTTTTTAATTTTTTGAAGGGTAACTTAACAGTCACTCTGGGGAAAATGAAATGCAAGGTGAACTGGCATCTTAACAGTAAAACTCTATGAAACAATCTGGACTTAAAGACTGGTAAGAACATGCTTGTTTGTCAAACTTGGACAGACAGGATGGTTTTTACTTTGGATCAGTAGGCAGGTCCTAGTGCTAACTTTTTGCTGATTTCTGTCTTGTGTGCTAACAATCAACTGCCAGCTACAGCTGCACGGCAATAAATGCTACTGAGCTGTTTGTAAGAACAGAGACTGCTTGCACAGCTTCAGAGCCACCTGTGTTATTGGATGTACTGGTTGAAGTCTATGTACATACATATTCTTTATGATTGGTGAATGAATTTATAGGGTCTTAGAAAGAACCGGATAACAAAATGGAGCAGCCCATTTTGCATAGTAACTGTGGATCTTCATTGTTATCTATTTTGCAATGGATCTTAGGCTATGTTTAATTCAGTAAAAACTGCTATTTCAAGTATATGGGATGCTGCAAACTCTTTTTGAGAAGGGTTTGATAAAATTGCCATTTGTTAGAGGTGCTATGTAGCTCATGTTTCTCTTATTCATATGTTTTGGTTGTATTTAGTGGCTGCTTCCTTTTGGGAAGAGGTAATAACTTAGATAAATTTGTGATGGAAGGTTCTTTAATATTCAGTGATACACATGTCCTTAATTATCTACCTGTCTCTTGGAATTTAATGCAAGGTCAATGCAAATGGATTTTCCATGCTGTTTTGGCAGGTAAAAGACTTATGTTACAATTCTGGAAGGATAATCGGCCATGTGCAATAACACACTAAGTGAAGGATTTAATGAAACTTGTTATTTTTGCACAGGTGGTCTTTAGACATAATTTTCAAATTGGAAAATATATGGATATGTGGGCTGACTTGGTTGAAGTCCATGCATAATCACCTTTACATTAGTTGGTTGCCTATATAATATTAAGGGACATAGAATACATATACAGTATTATGATTAATACTAAATTATATGTTAAACCTCATGTAATAAAATTAACATTTTATTTGTTTTGTTCATCTTTTTCCCTTCTCTATTCACTGTTGTTTAAGCTCTCTTTTGAAATATTCAATATTAAAAAAAAAGTGTTGTAAAGTCCATTATGACTTGATTAGCACTAGTTGCATGACCCACAGCAAAACAATGAAAACTCCTGTAATTTCTTTACTATTGTGAACCGCCCAGAGGTGCTGTGGCACAACGGGTGGCATACAAATGTTTTAAATAAATACTAGCATAATTATTAAATGTGACCTACCATGAATGTAAACAACTCTGAGGAAATTGGAATAACGCAACATCTTGTGCAACCATTTGTAGAACAGGCTGTGTGATGGCCCATGCAGTCACTCACACATGCAGAAACAAGTACTGGATCCAAGACTCGCACAAGGCTAAAAGCCGAGCTTACACAAGTGGAAGGAATTGACACCACTGGACATGATCCATAGTGAAACAAAGGCCAGCACTTTTGCTGTGCTTCTAAAACAGTATCAAATCACCATTTTGGCAAGGGTTGATTTTACATGGGCCATACCTAAGTCTGTGAGGAACAAACCAAACTTCTATGGCGACCCAACCAAAGATTAGGGCACCTGCCCTTAAGAAGGTCAGACAGTTGGTCACCTTTCAATAATCCGAAGGATAAGCATGCGGATTCCACAGTATCAAATTTGGAGGAGATTCTGAACTGTAAGACCACAGAAACTATTTTGTAGCATTTTTTATATTTATAGTGTCACCTGCTGGTATTATTCCAAGCGGAAGTGGTGCTCTGGCTGGTGCAAGCGTATCCTTCCTGTCCCTTCCAGCATCCATCTGCGCTCTCAGTAAAAGACCATTCGCGGCCTCACTGACAGTCCCATCTCCACCAACACAGACCACCCTAAAGGGAGAAAATGGCCAAGCAATTCATTCATTCATTCATTCATTCATTCATTCATTCATTTAAAACATTTCTATGCTGCCCCATTCGCCGAAGCCTCGGGGCGGCTCACAACATAAATTAAAATATAATACATTCAAAATATAAAACAAATTAACAATATAAAATAAGTCGCCCTGGCCAGATAAAATAAGCAAATAATATTAACAATTAAAATGATGTTTAAATAAAAAGGGGCTTTCATCAAGTTGAAACGGACTACATTTGTACTAAACATGCACTAAAAATGAGGGTGGAAACTTTACTCTTAAGTACTTGAATTACATATAGCAGGGCACATACACTTGTTTCATTTGTACAAACCTTGATTTACAAGACCCATGAGCACTCTGATGCCTGAGCTCTTCTGAACATAGACTGATTCATGAAGTGGGGGGGGGGGGTGTAACAGGACACCTACATCAAATACTATGAAGTGGCATACTGAGAGCCAATGTGGTGCAGTGATCAAGAAAGCAGGTGTGGGACTCAGGCGATCTGACCTCTAGTTCTCCCTCAACCGTGGAGCCAACAGGATGACTTTGGGCCAGTCACAGATCCTCATCCCAGTCTAACTCCCAGGGTTGCTGTTATGGGGATAGTATGGAGAGCAGCAGCAGGAGCATGGTGCGCACCACTCTGACTTCTTCGTAAGAGAAAAGGAGGGGTATAAATCAAATAAATAAATAAATACTGAGTGCAGGACAAAACTCTGTTGTGATGGAAGTGAGACATACGCACAGATAATTAAAAAGACCTCTGCTGCCTTGATAGCTGAGATGTTTTCCCAAAGTTAACAGTATCCTTAATAGAGATGTAAAACAATTAAATATTCTCTTACCCATGAAATGGCTTTAGATCACATTCCTTAAGCAATGCAAGAGCATGTCCTTCATATTCAGTAACTATGAAAGATACATCATTTGTTATAATGCAGGAACTATTAGACACCAATTCAAACACTCAAGTTCTCAGCGCAGAACAATAAGCCTGCTTTAGAAGCTATGAATCACAATACAGAAAGCTACTAATTTTCCCTTGTGGGCTTTTTGGCCTCTCCCCTTAGAGCAGCAGATCCCAAGACAAAGAACAGATTGTATACAGCATGCAATGCTTCCGTTCTAGCAGAACAATCCTAAAGTCATTATAGATTATGGCCATTATTATTTCACCCTCATATTTTGAAGTATGAAAAAGGCATGCTTAGCCACATAAATTCTGCCAACACAATCCCTGCTGGCCATAAACCTTCAAACTTGGAATTATGGGCATCCTACTGAGAACAGGAAAGCATGGAGGCAAAAATCCACCCATCATTTTTTTCTGCCCTGCAAAAGCCTTAATGTGGGCAATTCTGGTCTCAAGTCTTTAGGTATAACTCCCAAGGAGGACAGGCTGAGGCACCACCGGGACACATCCTACCCCAACAGAGGCTTACTCTACTCCTCCTTGCCTCCCGGAGCGCTCACTCCGTGTGTTGGCTCCAAGGTTGGAGCTGCTCCCACCACAGATCTTTCCACATGAGCTACAAGGCCCGAGGGAGGGTACTTCAAATTTGGAGTCCCAGAGCCAACCTTGGAAAACATTTCTGACACTGGAGCTGGTACTCTGAATTTTCCTGTGGCCCTCTAAACTCTGTCAAGAACTACGCAACTGAGCTCTTAGTTACAAAATCTGTTATCTTCCAAGGAAGACAATCAATATTTCGCTTCCAGACCACTAGTTAATAATCTAACAAATGTAAATGTCAGCACAAGAATAATCTGTCACCTTTTATGACCGGAATGAGCAAAATGCATATCAGGATGTACCGGCACAGTGCTCCCAAAGGCCACTGGAAGCTCCCAGTCGTCTCAAGGGTGGCTCTCCACCCCCACCCCTACCTCTCTGCACTAGCTGTTCACATTCAACAAGAGCTCTCTAAGCTTTGCCTGGTTGTTAAGCTGGGGGACAGCTGCTATGACTTGCGCTACCAAGGTGGTTTTTGGGAGAAGGAGTCAGGAAACATGCCACTCATCAACTGTAGGGCAGCTGGGAGTAGAGAGCGAAGAGGACAACTAGCTGCAGCATGGGTGGAGCCCAAGCAGAAAGGACAACACGATCGCCTTGCTGCAGCAGAGCACTGTGCGGAAACAAGCTGGAAAGCAAACCAAATGTGTAAATGTGCATGAGCAATGCTGAGAGATTTTTGCAGCACTGTGTGGAGTGGAGCACTCTCTGGAAGAACCGTCCCTACCTAAGAACTAAACGAGACTGCTGGAATGGACCTGCTGGTGACTGGCTGAGGATGAGGCCTTCTTGGATGGCATGGAAGTAGATGGGGAGGCCTCCCACCAGGTCTGGTGCATTATGTCACCACCTGCCCAGAGACAAAGAGAGGAAAGGCCCCCAGGTGGCCTTGGCAATTCTGTCTGAAGCCTAAGTGACTCCTGTTTGAAAAACAGTGAAGATCATTGTACTGGTAAATCTCTAGCTGATAGTCAGTAGATCATCAAATGCTCTTACCTCCCAGTTGTTTAACAGTAGCAAAAACATAATTATGCTTTCATGTAAACTCTGTTGCTTGGGGTAATCAGAAGTGGACTTTTGTGAGCTCAGCTCAATTGTGGTGCTCAAGTGTCCCCTCTTCTTTAAGTCCAAGTCTTTAATATGAAGTGTATGTACCTGGCTCTGGTTGGTGGGTCTTGTAGTGCTAATAAAAATACCAAGTAGATCCAACAAGTCTAAGTCTGTCCATCCCTGTCTGGATGTAATTATTTTTCACACAGAATTGTTTGAAAACACAAGGGTCTTTGCATTGGTAAATGCAAATATTTAACTTGGACAAATTAAGCATGGAAATAATAAAGCTGCATACCAGTTGAAAAAAAGAATGTAATACAGGAGGGTGGTGGTACAAGTATACACCAGAAACTGCAGCCTCTGGAGGAAACAAATCTGTCAATCTACATTGCTGTCTCTGTTTGTTGATACTCTGTGTGGTATAGTAAATGCTAGCAAATGAAGACTAAACTGGCATGCTGCAGATGGCATAAAGCATCATAACCACATTTAGCATTTTCTAGGGCATCTTTGCCAGAAGAGACAGCCCAGATGCATCCACTCATCAAAGATTTCTGCTGACTGACATGACACTTCCAGATGGATTTTTTGTGTAAGAATGTGCATTATTATATGCAAGATTACATTAATTTTTCATGCTCGTCTGTCTTTGGTGATAGTACATTGTCTCTTGTCTAGTGTTTTTAAATACTGTTAAATTCAGTGTGCGAGTATCTAAAAGCATTTCTTATTAAAAAGCTTCATAGCCAGCCACTCACCTGCTTCATTATGATCGATAGCAATGTCCTTTAGGTGAGTAAGTGGAGCAATGTGCAGAACACCACTGCACTGTTTCTGGCTTGGGGCTGCAAATGCAGAACGCCAGCCATGGAACAGCACCATGGTGCCATCATTCCATATGCTAGATTCCTGACCCTTGGCTTTTAAAGGCCCAAAGAACAGCATGACGAGGCAGAAGCATCATTGTGGCATTATCAGTTAAGTGGAAATTAGCCCTACCATCCTTCAAAGATGTAGAGCTGGCTAGATGAAAAGCTTTAACACAAAACAATGCAACCATTGTTAAACGTTCTTGAGCAGATCTCATAGCCCAGTCAATCCCACCTTTCTCTACTTAGCAGAACTCACTTAGTAGGTATTCTAGACACCTGTCTTTGGTTATTAATAGAACAGTCCCATAGTCATTTCTCCTGCTTCCCTAACACCCTCTTCTGAGCCAGGAGGGCAACAGACTGAAGTAAGCTAAATTGGAGAGTCAAGGGCTAGGTGGAGAAAGATGCCTTCAGACATAATGATAAACCATAGCCTGCTCCCCTCTTCTTTTTAATTGCAGGTGCAAGATTAGAAACATTTACTCCTAAAAGGATTAGCTGTGATTCACTGTTAACTAGGACAAAACAGTTAGTTTTAACTATGCAATTAATTTAACAATGGCTGATCCAAACATAGAGTTGACATTGGCCTGTTCAGACAAATCAGTGAAAATTTAGCCGAGTTGGACTACATTCAGACATATCAACATACTGCAATTTGCATTCAACAGAGGCAAATGTTTCTGATCTCCTTTCAGTTGAAGGAAAGGGAGGGATGCATCAGCCTGAGGCTCATTCATGAAGCACCAACCATAGTTTTGCATTATGTCCAACAAAGGGAAGTCCAACACTGTCCTAAATAAACAAGGGCTTCCTGAAATGTCTCGCAAACTGAAAATAAGGAAACTTAGGCAAATACTTAACACACTAATTCATACACTTGTAAAATTTGGATAGTCTAGATTCTTATTTTAATTAGATTCTTATTTTAATACACAGCTTTGTCCTTCATTTCAGATTTGTGGGGAAAACTTTTACCAGCAGAAAAAAAGCTTTGGAAGCCTCATACTGAAAGCTTTCCTACTCTACTGAAGGACATCAGGACTTTTGCAGGATGTGTGGACTCCAGTCCCTCCTTCAGGAAAAGCTTTGCTACCTGCATACTATTGGCTCAGTAATGTGAGCTCTATGAATTATAAAAATAAAGTAAGAATTGAGTGTAAAATAATGACAAATAGTGAGTTTAAACATAGCTAACACAGCTTTAGTCTATGAAATATTCAGAGTGGGGTAAGTTTTAAGCCAACATGTTTTTATTGGTTTCTGCTGTTATTAAATAAGAGACACACACACATATATATATAATGTGCATTTTCTCTTAGGTACATTCAAATATTTAAAATTAAATGGCAATTTCTGATATTCATGTATGAACTATGACAGATGAAAAGATTAAACAAGAACTACGCTGTTTAATAAAAAAAAACTGATAAAAATGATAGCATGTAATTTGCCAAAGTATCCTGTAGGTGGAGAGTGTTAGCCAATAAACACAGCAGCATGCTTTGAATGATTATAAAATGGTGTGGACATTAAAAGAGATAGCATGTGTTTAATTTTATCCTATCTATTAAAATAAAAAGAAAGCGAATTAATTCTCTTTAGTCTAGCTGTTTTACATCAATGCTTTGGCAACAGGAACAAAGAATTATTTTATTAACATTTTCATTGTCAACAGGTTATTGAGTGGCTGTAATTCTATTAGTCAAAAATATTTTTAGTAACTGAAACAAATAACCTTCTTAAAGGTGTCTTGTATTTTGACATTTGAAAGCTACAATTACAGAAGAACCATAAACACTAGGACAGAATTACATTCCTGGAACAGTTTACATATTAAGTATTTTACCTTCTAGTTTTGCATGTTTACAGTTTGGTGCCTTACGGATTATACCAAACTCTTTAGCTGAGGTTTAAAAACCAAAGAAAAACTTCAACATACCCTGGGCCAGTTAGCATGATTGTTGCAGCCCACTGCGGCTTTTTAAGGTCAAGACAGGTTGCAATGTATGCTGGTGGCCCTCTTGAATATTCAAACTGTGGCATGTGGGCACCATGGTTTATTTTATCATGCAAACCAAGCAAAAATGGCATGTGCAGAGGTTATTAAAATTGGGTTATAAAAGGATTATAAAATTTCAGCAAAGATGGTAGGTGAATGGAAAAGCAGTTGGATTTCCCCTACATATTGACAAACATTGGGGTGTGCATGATTAGTGCTGACTACTGTTAACCAGCTCCGCAAGTGGTGCCCACCTGTTTGCAAAGGGAAGTGAACTGAGCACACTCTTTGGTCTGCCAGAAGGACACTGCCACTCCTCTGTTCAGCAACTAAAAGAAGATCCCAAGCTGGAGACTCTCTGGAATGGCACCAGACTCTTCCCATCCCATCCCTAACAGCCTAGCCTGATCCATGCCTACTCAGAAATAAGTCCCACTGAATTCTATGTGACACAGGCAGCACTCACATGTGTATCTACTATGCAAACCCCAATGAGTCCAGTGGAGTCTATATATAAAGTATACTTCCTGCAGCACAAATCAGGTACTTCTAGTAATGCTCATTTTTTTAACTAACTCTAATCACTAGCTTGGTGAAATGTATTGTTAAAAGGTAAGGATGTATGAAAGGATTTAATTAAAAATCCTACACAACCATGTAAATAATCTTCACTAACCAGAACAGGAATTTCAGCAACATCAAAATGGTGCCACTGGCTGCCTCGCTGGCTTCAAAAATGGATTAAATCATGTTCTGCAAAGCATCTTACCTATCACGTCAGTTCTGATGTCAGCGAGCTTAAAGAGAGGCGCAACTTGTTCATAATAAAGACGGGCAGCCTCCTTTCTATGACTGTTTGGATTGACAAACACTTTTAATGACTTTGGCCTATTTGGAAAACCTGCAAAATGAAAGCAATAACATTGTTATGAGGGCGTGGGGTTGGTTTGATTTATTCAAACACCCTTAAAATATTAAGACATAAAATTGTAAGTATACAGATACATTCTGATATTGACTAGAAATGTAGATTGTCTGTAACCTTTTTTTACATGAAGATGTCCAGTACTTATGCCCGACACCTATATAATATGCTTGAGCAACTGAAGCACTGACCTGCTCGCGAGTACAGCTAAGAATAGCCAGTATAAATCAGTCAGTCACCCCCTTCAAGAGCCTTATGTGACAGATATAACGAAAGAGGTTTTAGGTCATGGTTCATATCTGAAAGAGGGAGCAAGATAAAGAGGGAATATTCTCTTGAGAATTTAAAAGGAAATGGCTCTCAGCAAGGATTTGATAATGGTACTCCTTCACAGTTGGGGCAGAGATTTGATACTACAATTTTCAGGATTTACAGATTATGTATCGTGCCACACAGGAGGAGCAGGTGCAAAAGAAATCTGCCCTTGATTAAAGGATCAAGAAATAAGGTTATGAGAAGGGGGAAATGCAAAATGTGTATTACTTAAGGCACATTTTAGCCCAAAATGTGTATTTGCTTTTCTACATTTTTGTTACCTAAAAAATGAGTATTTATAACCATGCTTCCAAATGTTTTTATTTATTGTCAGTGCTAAGCATTTGCCTTTACAGAGGCAAATGATAATTTGTTTAAGAATACTTGATTGACTTACCCTGTAACCTTCCAAGGACAGCCACAGTCCCAGGAAAAATCATACATTTAACTGTCACAATATAAAGCAACAGGTCCATTGCATTTTTTCTTTTGGCACTCTAAATCTCTTCATTACCCAGACCTGTAAACTGGCATTGCATAGAAGTTGCCTAGCAAAGCTGTTTGCAAACTTTCATAATCTTCCTATTCTTTACCTTATGAGGACACTAATATTCTACCTGTTGCTCATAAAACTTTTAAGTGCAAGACAAGAAACTGGCATTATTTCTTCCAAGGACGTAGATCTTCCCCACCTTTCTGAATTTTCCTCTCAAAAGCCAAACTTGATGTTTTTACTATTGCATAGTTTCCTCTTCTCCAAGTCCAAAAGACAATGAGGGGAAAACAGCATTTCAGGAAAGACAGTGAACATGTATGGATCAGTAGAAGACTGATCCATACATGTACTGATTAGCAATGTAAATAAAGGATTAATTACAAAATACCTTCTCCCACTGTCCTGATAAATTACCTTAAAAACCCATTTTCTTTCCCTGTTTGTAACAGGGTTGTATTTGTTTGCTAATAGGGTTGCTGGGATAAAGGAAGCAGGAAGGTAGAGAGGATGCCAGAATTGCATATATTTCTTGCAGGAAAACTATACACTCTACCCTTACACTGAAAAACTTAGGCTAAGTGTATGCTCAGAGGTAGCATACTCCATACTCCTGAATTAATAGTAAGCAGAAAGGCTGCACTGGATGAAAGGAAACCACTCAGCTCCTGTTTGGAGGCATTTTTCTCCCTCTGTTCTAGGATCTAAGCAATGTAGTGGCAATGGGCTCCAGTCATTTTGGCACAGATTAAGTCTGGAGGTGCGGGTGAGGGGAGAGGACGGCCACTTCCCAAAAACAACCTCAAATGTGAAGATTTGAAATGGGGGAAAACAGCCATATTTTGGAAGAGTAGTTTTTAAAAAGGCAGCAGTAAATAGTTGCACAGATGGAGATGGAATACATGTGTTCTCTGGTCAGGGCTAGCCCGTTATTTTGCTTCCTGAGGCAAAAAATAAAATACCATCCCAGTTCCACACACAGAAGCTGACTGCATTTGTGGTTCATTCTTGCTTCCATCTTGGTGACAGGGAAGCTTCCTACCTTGGCCTTGGTGAGCAGGTTGCATGGCATACAAACTCTGCCACCAGGACTAGTACTACTTCTGTACTATTTTTCCTGTCCCCTGGCATCTGCTTCCTTAATCCCTCATTAGTGTCATGCTGCTGGAACTTATTGGAAATGCAGTCTCAAACATCTGGATGGGCATCAGTTGCTATGGTCAGGCATGCATTTCAGCCAGGGTCTCCTGCCCCCACCTCATTTATTTATTTTATTTATTAAAACATTTCTATGCCGCCCCATTCGCCGAAGCCTCGGGGCGGCTCACAACATAAATTAAAATACAAGAGATAACGATATAAAATAAGTCGCCCTGTTCCAGCCGCTTGCTGTTGTCTGTGATGATCAGGGGAATCTGAAATGTATACCTGGGACAATAATTGTCTCCATCATAGGTGAATGTCTGAACACCAGGCGTGGAATGAGCGGGAGAACACCACCTCTAATAGCCCTTAGCAACCCTACAGAAGGGACCTAGGTGTGCTCTTCGGATCGAAGATCTTGTTGCAATGTTCAGTGCCGTGGCAAGTTGAGCAGAGCAGTCCTACTGGCCTACCTACTGTGCCAGTCCACCTCACTACTGTATTTAGAAGTCTAACAGGGCAAAGGGAGGAAATGTGCAGGCACAAGCTTCATGCTCAGAAAAAGGACAGTTTATTAGACTGCAATTGACAAATCTGAGGTAGAACTTTGTGCAAGCAAAGTGGCTAGTGGAAACATTGAAAAAGCCCAAGACGTTTCCCGATCCATACCAAGTAGTCCAGAGAACTTGCTCCGATACCTGAGAGTGCTATTTTATCTAACATCTTTTTCCTTTCCCATAAATTATTATTCGACTATCTTATAAGAAACGATTTTATCCTCATTGAAATGTTTACATGTTTCTGTTCTTACTACAAACACAGATGAGCTGCAGCCTTTGGTGTAATCAGAACCTATGTACTCTTGGGCTGCTTATTGAGGCGTCCATTTAAAATGAAACAGCATTTTAAAACAGAATAGCCAACTGTTCTTCTGGTAGCAACAAATGTGCTAATATGCACTAGTTTAAACTTGATCTATCAGTGAATCAATGAACCATGAAAGGTAGGGGTTAATCAGGGTGTTCTGAAAACAAAGGCTCATAGGGCAGCAGAGACGCTACCCTCAAACACACATCTGTGCTGTTTTTAGTGTTTAGTTTTATAGCAGCAGGCATATGTTTACAAAAGTTAAGAGCTTGGAATGATGTCACTGTCATATACATTATTAATATTTTATACAACAAGCAATAAGAAAATTGTTTCATAGAGACAGAAGTAATGATGTGAATAAACATTTTTCATGCTAACTAGAGATATACCACTGTTGATGTTACACTGTTAATGTATAACATTAATGGGATAATTAAACCTTCATGCATGAAGCTTTAGACAGTCACATTAGAACTTGGTGTGGGAGGCGTGCTTCAAGGGAGATTCGATAACACACTTCTTCTATAAATAACCATTCTGTCTTTTATTCTGAAAGCACCGCTATATACTGCTCAGTGTTGAAGTCAAACAAAATATCAGGCTCACAAATGCAAATATCTCTGAGAGTGAGGTTACACTCTGTAGTTTAAAGCAAGCTTTAGTTTAAAGTAAACTTTTAAGATAATTACAGATAAAAAAGAAAAGTAGGGCTGGTTGAAATAAATTCATTCTGGTATTTTATATTAATGCTTCGTAAAATCAATGCATTTTATGGTGCACAATATTTTTCATTAAAGTACATTAATCTATGAAGTTTTCTTCTGGATTCTCCTTTTAAAACTTCAAACTCAGGTCTATTGATGAACATAGAATCTGGGAATCAAGTTCAAAGAGAGTTTCTTTGGTACATTAATATTTGTCCCCTAAAAACTGTGGAAATCAGACTTTCAAATGACTCTCTCCAAACATGCTAAGATTGTTTTTGTGTCACTTTGGAGGTATATGCAAAATCACACCAACTAAAGGAAGGCTTTCCAGTAGAAGAGAGACACAGGAATACAACATCAGAATCCATTTTTAAAGCTTCTGATATTATTTTTTCTTCAAATAGGTGCATTCTTCTGGTTGAAACTTTGCGGAAAGTTTTCTGAAACTTTCTTTAACAAGATGACCCTTCACTTTGGTTTAAACACCCTTGTTTTTACAACAATGACAACAACATTCTTCTGTGTGAAAACAAAATAAGTATCTAGACTTTATAATAATCACCTTTCCCTTTTGCACTGGTCTGCATCTAACAAAAACTATCATTAGTCTTCCATTCATACAAAATGATATAAATGAGAAAGACCATGTAATATTCTGACTTGTTTTTTTTTTAAGGTTTTTCTTACCTGAATGACTGAAAATGTAAAGTAGAGAAGAGCTCAATATACAGTACAAATCCTTGTAGTAAGGTACAATTCTTCAGAAACAAACTTCCATAATGGATTAGCCATATCACTAAATGCAATCAGGAATGGGCAGGGATAATCAAGATGCACCATGCTAAGGAGACATTTTTGGTGGCGGGGCCAGGGTCCAGAATTCTCTCCCAAGGGAAGTTGGACTACACATTCCTGATAACATTTAGGCTAGCAGCAAACACATATTTAATGGCTTTCAATGGTGTTTGAGGTTAAATGTTTTAACTCACCTCTTCTTTTTAAGATTTTGTCCTAAAGATTTTATTATTATTAAATTTGTTTTTGTATGTTGTTTTGTAAACCACCTTGTGATCCTTTATTAAGGCCAAAAGGCAGTCCAAAATAACTATAAAGAAATGACTGCAGGGCAAGGAATATTCTGAAATACTAATCTGGATTTTCCAGAGTGGTAAGACTTAAAAATGATATACGTGGAATGATTATCATCTACAATACATCTTGATTTTCTCTGGTCACTAGGAAATACTCAGAAATGAGGATCATCATTTCTTTATCCTTTCACACATACGTACTTGTCCACTTTCAGTCTGAATTACAACCACATCAGCCCCAATCTGTTATTAAATCTATGTAAGAGTTAGAACTTGCTACTAGAATATGAGATGGTACATTCACGATGCCTGGACTTAATCTAATACAGTGCATTGAACTAAGCCCAGGGTTAACTTAAAAGACAGAAACATTTGTTCCATCACAAACAATACTGCAATACACATGTTAGTACCACAAAACTACACGTGTTCCCTTGTCTCCAACCCACTACATTCACATCTCTTTAACCTTCATTCAGCAGACCAGCTTGCACAGACACCAGTCAGGGGCAATTTCAAGAAATAAGTTGCTGTAAGTAATGAAAACAGAGAGGCATGGCCTTGATTGGTGTCCTGATGCTTTCAATTTAACCAGAGAAGTATTTTGACAGTTCCCACTGCTGGCTAACTTTAATATAGAAAACAGACTGCTCATTTGTACAAGCTGAACACATGCAGTGTTCTATGCAGCCAAAGATTTGAATACCCTTCTATCACAGATAGAATAACAATAAAACACTAATGTTATCCGAATGTGTTGATCAATTTAGCCTGATTTAACAATACTCAAGAATGTGCAGTACAGTGTGAACTTTCAGTGTGCTTTTGAGCCACTGCTGCTTCCCATTTGCTGAGTGCCAAGTTTCATAAGCACTCTCCCATCTCCAGAATCTTTTATCCTCTTGAGCTAGAACCACCGTATCTATGATGCAGCAACCCAGGCACTGCACCCCTTGAGATGAAGCAACTCAGGCACTGCAGGCACTCTTGAAGGAAACTGACCATCTAGACTCATTTCAGTCTGGCTTCAGGCCCGGCTATGGAACAGAGACTGCCTTGATCACCCTGTATGATGACCTGTGCAGGGAGAGGGACAGGGTGACTGCGTCTCTGATGGGTCTCCCGGACCTCTCAGCGGCTTTCGATACCATCGACCATGGTATCCTTCCGGATAGGCTAGCGGGATTGGGGGTCGGAGGCACTGCTCTGAGGTGGTTCCACTCCTACCTATCTGGCTGATTCTAAAAGGCGGTGCTAGGGGACTATGGCTCTGCACCGTGGCAACTCTGCCATGGAGTTCCGCAGGGTTCCATTTTGTCCCCCATGCTCTTTAACATCTACATGAAACCTCTGGGAGAGGTCATTTGAGGTTTTGGGTGGCAGAGTCAGCAGTATGCTGATGACACCCAGCTCTACCTCTCTTTTACATCTAATCCAGGTGAGGCACTGTCAGTCCTTAATCAGTGTCTGGCTGGGGTATTGGGCTGGATGAGGGCCAATAAATTGAGGTTTAATCCAGACAAGACCAGGGTCCTGTTGGTAGGTGGGTCAGCCTTCCAGGCGAGTGATTTTTGCCCTGTTCTGAACAGGGTTGCACTCCCCCTAAAGGACAGGGTATCCAGTTTGGGAGTGCTCCTCGACCCTGACCTCTCCCTGCAGCACCAGGTGCTGGCAGTGGCAAGGAGTGCTTTGGCTTCAGCTTTGACTGATTCATCAGCTGCATTCTTAACGGATGAGGAGTGCCTGGCAACGGTGACCCATGCTCTGGTAACCTCCCATTTGGACTACTGCAATGCACTCTAGGTGGAGCTGCCCTTGAAAATAGTCTGGATACTTAAATTGGTCCAGAACAGAGCTGCCAAGTAATTAATGGGGATCAGCAGATGCTCCCATATCACACCAGTCCTGTATTGTCTACACTGGCTGCCAACTGAAGTCTGGGCCCAATTTAAGGTGCTGGTAATGACCAATAAGGCCTTAAATGGCTTGGGTCCTGGATACCTGAAGGAGCACCTTCTTCCCTATGTGCCTGCCTGCCCCTTGAGATCTGAGGCAGAGGTCCTTCTCCGGGAGCCCTCTTTGAAGGAAATTAGGAGAGTAGCTTCTCAGAGAAGGGCCTTTTCAGTGGTGGCGCCCTGACTGTGGAACATGCTCCCCAGAGAGGTTTGCCTGACACCATCGCTTTATTCTTTTCAGCGGTAGGTAAAGACTTTCTTATTTTCCCATTATTTTAACAGTAAATTGGTTTTATCCATGATTTTATCATTATTTGTCAACACGCAGTGTGTTGTGTGTTGTATATGGTTGCTTTATTTGTTTTTGTAAGCCATCCGGAGAGTTTTAGTATTGGATGGCATATACAAACTTTAAATAAATAAATAAGCAATATGCTTTGTCACTTGGCTGTAGATTCAGACCTAACAGCAATCCAGTTTTCAACGCACACTGTAATTTTCAGTAGGCACCAAAAACTCAAGAAAGTTTGTCAGCACCTAATGGACAGTAGTAGGAAGGTCCAGAGATGGCTGCTACATATTGAAGGCCCTCTTGGTGAACTAGACATGCAAGATACCAGGAAAATATCTCCCAATGAGCACAGCAGCTGAACAAGATGAAGCTGTCTCTTGATGTCAGAAAATGATTATCCACAACAGGCCACATCTTGAGATAATAAGCAGAGTTATCCACAAGTGTTGATTCTGCCCTTGCAGCCCCTTCACACAACCTGCAATTAAACTCCTCCCATCAGAACCAAGAAATATTACTATCAGCTTTAGATGAAGCCAGGATATTAAATATATGTTTGAAGCAAAGAAGTTGTGTATGTGCACAAAAGATCCATGCATATCTTGGATTAATAAACAAAATTATGATCATCTGAATGTGACCAGTGACCAGATATGGGTATAATGCTAACCCCACAGTTCAGCACAATGGGGACAAGTTTGTACAAGAATTAGGTTGATGCATTCATCCAGTCTGAGTTCTGACATCATAGAATCATAGACTAGTAGAGTTGGAAGGGGCCATGAAGACCATCAAGTCCAACCCCCTGCTGTTGCAGGAGAAAGTCACCACAGCAAGTAGCAAAATCAAGAGAAAGCTTCTGCTCTTTGTGGTGTTGCCAGAAAACAAAAGAGGTTGCGGCTCATGTGTGTAGCACTAAATTGGAGATAAGTGCTACTGTGAACCAGGCCTGTACAACAAATAATGGTTTAGCTAAAGAAACCATGGTTTCATGTTATATATGAATAACACCTTAACCTAATTACAATCGAGTATACTTGATACATAGCTAACAAAATAAGACTGAAATCCTGAATGTGTTCTTCTGGAAATAAGGCCCAATTCTGAATAAGAAAACATGTTTCTCTGAACTATGGATAGGCTCATGGTTAAATTATTTTAATACAAGAGATTTTAGGAAATGGAAAAATGAAGCATTCCTGAAGGTACTTACCATTCACTATTTCTGTCAAATATCTAAACCACAAATGACAATGGTCTTCACTCATGTTACTTAGATGAATTGTGGAATCCTTAAGCTTATTTCCTTCCTTTTTTAGACACACAAATACGGTGATACCTAATAATACACCGCCCTTTTGCTGCCCAACAAATCGACGACGCTTTAGTTTTACAGAAAATACATCTTTCATTTCAACATATTCCTCTTTATGTTGCAAGACTATGCTGGCTCCACCTGTTCAAAGAATGAAGAAAAGAAAAAAAAAGTTAAGTCTCACTGTATATCACAATATAATTTCTTATAGTTCCTTCCTAAATAAAGGAATACATACAAATTATCAACATGTTTAGTTAAGAAGCATCCCTTTAGAATCTCTTTACAGATGCTTGGAGATTGTTCAGACCCAGGTCTTACCTTATTAGCTGTAGTGTAAGACTTGCTGAAGTTCAGCTTCTCCCATGCTATGCTCAGTAATGTTTGGAAGAGACTGAAGTTTTTCTTCTTCTTAGGGAACATAATTTAATTTAAGATTGTGCTACTCTCTTCCCTAAATGGAGAAAGGGGTTCCTTCCTTATCCTCTGCCTTTTTGCAAGTGTTTCTTACTGACATACGCAGAAAAAAGGGGTCCATGTTCATCCTTTCTGCATTTTGACTGCTGCTTCTTGAAGGTATCAATAGTGATAGTGGTTCCTTGGCTTTCTAATTCTCTCAGGCCTTTGATTCTCCAAAGTCCTTCCCTTCCAAAAACAGGGGTAGGCCATGGAAGCTCTACCACAGCCCCAGCTGCCATCACCAGTGAAAACTGTCAGATTGGCAAGTAGCAGAAAGGACCTTTTCCGTGGTGGCCTTACAACTTTGGAATGCCGATCCCAACCATTTATAAACCCCATTCCTTTCCTGGCTTTTAGAAGGATTTAAAATCCTTTAATAGTCTGAATTTGATCCATTTTAGAGTACTGTGCTTTTAATGAAGGGCCTTATCTATCACTGCTACTGTACTTCTTTTAATGATTTATGCATTTGAATTGAGTTTGGTATCCTCAGCAAATGATTGGAGCAATTCCGCCATTTACTTGCATAAGGGAAACAAAGTCCTTCTTGTATTTACAAAAATGACTGAGGGACAAAGTGCACCCTGCCAAGGACCTTTGAGGCAACAGGGTCTTTGGCAGGAAGTGATCTTGCTTTTCTGAGATCCATTCCTGTGCTTCCACATCAGCGTGGCCACGCAATGATATGTCTCAAACTTATCTTGTTTGAGACATATCATTGAGTGAGTTGTCTTCCCTCAGGACAAATTAGGAAGAAGGAAAAATGGAATCTCCTTAACCAAATGACTTCTTCAACCTCCTCTTTTGTAGACACTGTCATGAAGAAGGGCCACAAAATGTATCAGAACTGCTGTAGCAGACTACCAAGGTGGTCACATACCTCTTTCTGAACCTTTGAAAAAAGTTACCTTTTCCATGTACTTCTCTAGTTGCACCTGTCCCTGAGGTTCTACTCTACCTTGTAGTGACTGCTAAATATGAAGTACATATACAGCAGGGAAACCACCTGCTACTTAGTAAAATGGTTTTCATCTGTCTTTTCAGTCATTAAGGCTGGTCTTGCAGCTGGTGAGTTGTCACAGCCAAAGGCCCAGGGCCAATAAAATCAAGGGAGCAAAGAGAGCATCTTTGACAAATCCCTCTGGTTACATGCCACTTATAGATAGAGTAAGCCAAAGACCAACCAAGCAAACAAAACACCTTTCTGTTGTTTTTGCTTTGTTGTTGTCTTGCTACAAAAGAAGCTGGTACAGGACTATCTGGTTGCTGGTGTTGGAAGAAAAAAAATAATGCAATTGTCTTTGGTTAGTATGCTACTACAACACTCCTACCAACTCTAGATTAACCAATTTTATGAAGATGATACACTGGATTGAATTTATAGCCTTTTTCCTGCCCAGCAAAAATCAAAACAAAACAAAACACCAGTGTCATTTTAAAACTCTTATTTCCAACATATTAGATGCTCAAGTTGAGCTACAGCAGCTTTAAGTCTTTAATATTAGAAGGAAGGGTGTTTATTTCCAAACATTTATTTTCCTCTAAATCTGTGGAATTTCAATCATAATTTCTCACTAAATTAATAAGTGTAAAGTTATATTTTCTGCTTAAAATCTTCTAAAACATCTAAACTTGCTTTTAAAAAAACTATTGGGGGGGTCCATTTAAGAACTATCCATTCATTAGTTTTATAGTGATTATTGCTAGTTGTTTCAAAACATTAACTCTCCTCTCACATTACCTAGAAGGATACAGAGTACCATCTGTTCTTACAGGGGATTTAAGTATACATTAGATATCATGCTATTTATTTAATTCAGGACCCACTTCCCATTGTGTCCCAAAGTCAATTTAATTACAAGGAATGAAGATAATCTTTCTTGCTGGGTTGTTCTATTACTATCAGAGGAGAACAGGGACCTTCATAAAGTAGGTTGTACTTGTTAGGTTTTCTTCTCTTTTTAACAATGCTTCACATTAAGAAAGATTTTTACAAAAACAATACCACATCTCTCTCAAAAATATTATTATAAGCCAAGAGCTTGTCTACATCAATTTTGGCACATCTGCCTGATGTAGAGCATAAACAGGATTAGAGCTGGATTTATCTGCTTGACGCTAATTGTACTCACAGTTTCTGCACATGTCCACCTTTTCAAATACAGCATGCAAAATAAGTGTGGCTAAGACAGTAATTTCTACCAGCATGTATTAAGAATGCATTATACTTTACCTAAGTGCTTAAATAACTTAGCCCTTCCAAAATGATTTCAAATTAGAATTCTCCCTAATTAATATCCAAAATTATTGCTGAATATTCCTCACACTTTACTTCTGTTAAATGTGGATTCAAAGAGACAGCAGAGGTGGGGAAGATTCCTAACTCTTCTCACTTGATTCCTCAAGTAATTGCAGAAGGAGGGAGAATTCATCATAAAGGGAATGCACCCTCAGGTATTTATTAGCTGAGCTGTATTCCTGCATTTAGACTCTTTTAAACTCCAAGGCCAATGCAGCCATATCCCAAGCTTTAAGATTTTTTTTTTTTTCATAAAAAAGAAATGATACAAACAAAGAAAAATATATTATATGTGAGAAAAGGAATGCCAAGAAATCAGACACAAATATAGCATATAGTTCAATATCTAAAAATTCATGAAAAAGCAAAAATGTCTATACCCCTAGCTGCAATTAAGTCAATCCTTAATTAAGGTTCACAGACTCATCTAATTTACCATACTAATTGTAAATAATACAACTTTAGTATTGAAGTAAAAAATCATTGATATCTTATGAGTTTTTTAAAAAAATTAGTTAAATTGCTCATTTTAACTTTCCATATTAGTTTTTCATTAAGTGCTTTGGCAGTTCAATTTATATAATTAATTAGTTTTACCATTATTTCATACTCAGCTAGCTTATTTTTCCAATCTTCAGTAGTTGAACAATCTTCTGCCTTCCACTTTGATGCAATTGTTCCTCTTGCTGCTTTTATCATATATTTAAACTCTAGCATAATTTTTGGTAGAGTCTCTGGTATGACACTCAGTAACACATTCTTAGCATTCACAGGAAAATTAATTTTGAGAATTTTCTGCATTTTCACGTGTATCTGTTTCCAAAATCTTTTGATTTTATCACAAGTCTACCACGTATGGTAAAAAGTCCCATGTACTTCTTTACATTTCCAACATTTCTCCTTATAATTCTTATTCATTTCCTGCATATCTTTCAGGGTAAAATACCACTGAAAATACATCTTATTCCAATTTTCTCTTTAATGCTTGACTGGCAGTAAATTTATATTCTTTGTCCACAGGGCTTCCGATTGATGGGACAGTATTTCTTCTTCAAAATTTTGCATCCAACTTATCATGCATGTTTTGACTTCAGGCTTTAAGATATTGTTGCTATTTGCTTCCTTTTGCACGCTGTTTCTTCAGGTAACAGAAGAGTCAATCATACAATAGACAATTCCTTCAACTGTGAAAGAGACTGTATTCCACAACCAAAGGGTCCATGAAGTGAGGAGACTGGCCACAGAGAACATACTCTGTTTGACACACATTCTTCAAGTCCAACTCTCTACTTCCATAAAATGGAATCCAAGCTACTTTGGATGTAGAGCAGCACTTGTCACCATTTCATTGCTTTTGGTGGAATACGCACTGAGGAGAGGAGACCCTAGTCTAGTTTGTGCATAGCAACAGCTTTGTCCAAGTTGGGATGCACAGTTTGAAATATATATACCATTTTTATTGGTCTAAACTTATTACCTAATCATTGTTTAAAGGCTTAAAACAAGAGGTACAGATTTAAGGCAACTAGATTTGTTCGTCCCTTTTTCAGTTAGAAATACGGTTAAAGCAGGATTTCAGCAGTAAAGTAAAAATAAGCTAATCTGGGATACAATTCTGCAACTAGTAATGTATGTATATGTACCACTGCAACTGGTCAAACTTATGCATGCATTATTTTATAAAGAAAGCTCTTCTGGACTGAATCATGCCTATTCAGAAGTGTCTTGTGCAGATAATCGAAAATGCACATTCACCTTAGAACTGCCTGCACCCCAAGTGCAGTACTATTAGTTTTGACAGTGCCAATTACCTGTAATTCCAGCCCCTCCTTTTCTCTTTCATACCACCTGAGGGTCACTTTTGTTAGGACTGAAAATGCTGTCGGTTCAACATGCGAGAACATGTCACATCATGATTAACTCTGAAAGTTCTCCGTCTCCATTTTTAAACACTCATTTCCCCCATGTTCCAGATTTATGTTGCAACATGTACAACTAACTGTGTTGCCAAGCTGCATGTCTTACAAAACAGGCAAAAATAAAAATATAATTGACATTAATCTATAAAGGTCACATGGCTATAAAATGTATTCTTTAATGTTAAGGCTATAATCTAGGCACACTTTCTTGGGACTAAATCCCATTGTACAGCTCCATTATGCTCAATGCTCCTGTCAAACATTTTCTGGAGAAATTTGATAACAATATGATTTGATCCATCTGAAGCAATCTGAAGCAAACGGTCTTTTCACTCACAGCAAGAAATCAGTATTAAATAATATTGTGCAGTCTCTTAGAAACATCTATTGCTTCTGGATGAATGCAAGCTTCCTTTTAGGAGTATCTTTTTTATAAAGAATATAGTGTTCTCAATATGATCCAG